TAATTAATTATGATTATAGATATAGACGTTGACGATGATGTAAAGATGGACATTAAACTAGAACCTGTGAGTCCTTATGTACAGTTACCTTTATCTCCTGCTTTAAGTCAGTGTGAATCTAATAAATTAGATTCTCAAGTTGAAATAAACTCTACAACTTCTTTGTCTGATTTTAAGGTATGCTTATAATATTCTAAGAAGCTGATTAAAGTAAATTTAATGTTCACACATTTTGATTGGATTTAGACGACTCTGGAGACGCCACCCATCTCTCCACCCCAAAATGTTTCTCCACCTATATCTCCAGAACCTGTTACAAATGGAGTTGTTAGGAAAGAAGTTAAAATTGTACCTCTTAAATCTCAAGATGTTAATCAATTCATTCTCTCTAAGGAAAATTGCGCTAAGCGCGTCCGAGTAGAATCGAAAAATAATGTCCAACTGCTCACTGATGGTAAGATAGACTGTTTACCAGTATTACTATTTGTTTACCAGTATTACTATTATAATATTATCTTTAAACGTATTATGTATTTATATATTTCCCAGAACAATCTCAAAACGGTATATTCTTAAGCGCGCAAAAATGTGTCGCGCTTGATCAAAATGTTAAGAAGAATTATACATCGTATCCTGTTATGGCTCGCTTAGTTCCGACCAGTGCGAGCAACAAAGTTCAAACATCGATACAGTTACCGTCTGTACAAATCAAAACAGAAACTAATACGATTCAACTTCCTCAGAAGAATTATGTAAAAATAATAGATAACACTTCAAATGTGTACACGTCAGGAAGCGACCAAAGAGTAAACATAATTGATACACCTTTGGTTCTTAAAAATAAACCAGTCGAATGTACCTCCGTGGTTGTAAGGAATGATTCACCTAAGTGTAGACCGATAGTGATTAGGACAGACAATTCAAATTTTACTCCTATTGTAATAAAGAATGAGACTCCAGACATTAATTTCGCTGGACGACAGGAATGTGAGATGAAAGCATTAAAAAGGCAGCAGAGGATGATTAAAAACAGAGAATCGGCTTGTCTGTCGCGAAAGAAGAAGAAAGAATACGTATCTTCATTAGAAAAGCAGATTCACGATTTACAGCAGGAAAACAAGCAATTAAAGATGGTAAAACAAATGTGCCCGAAGTAATAATTACACGTTCTGATGCATCGTTAATTCTAATAAAATTGTTTTTCACACTAGGAGAATCTAAACTTGAAACAGAAACTTGTATCTTTAAAAGATACAAGTACCAATAATAAATTCAAGAGTACAACTTTAAATGCAAACAAAAGGAACGTTGCAATCCTTTTGGGAATGGTCTTTATGGTATCGTTGAACGTCAATAGCTTCACGTAAGTGTAGGAAATTATAAAACAGAACCATTTATTTATGACATAAGTGAATCTCGTTTAGATTCATAGCTTTGCTTTTTACAGAGATATACTTTCGCAAAGTAGTCGACTGAATACGTTATCCACCGATATCCCGATTAAGACACCCAGTACCAGACATGGTAGAACGCTACTTTGGGCATCCGGAGACCAGACTCAAGAGGAGGATGAAGATTTTCGTAAAAATATATCAATGCCACAGCCTATGTGTCCAATGCACATTAACCAAAGCGAATCGATTCGTTTAGATTATGAGTTGAGGCGATGGATCGGAGGTAAATCCGATGAAGACAATTGGTCTACATTGAAAAAAGCAAAAGCAGATTCGAGATCCACGAGAGAATCTGTGCTGTCGCCACGTGTACATGTACTACAAGCGAAGGCTAAGCAAAAGCGGAAATTATCAGAGAAGATCATATCGGAACCGTCTAAGAAAACGGCAGGCCCATCAATATCGAATGCGGTAGAACTCTTCTCACCAATTATAAAAGAACACGCTTCCTTGTTCGAGGCTTTAGGCAGGAGGGACGATACTTTTTATGTGGTTTGGTTTAGTGGAGAGCATTTGCTTTTGCCAGCTTCGAGCAAGAACAGTACGGGTAGACCGAGGATGTCGTTGGTGCTTCCAGCTCTTCCTATGAATGGTAAAGAGTTCAGTACACGTCTCATATAAAAGTACTTTCACAATGTGCTGAGCATTTGCTTATTTTCAGAAACATTTTCAACACCAACAAATCACATAACTATGATGCAAATTGATTGCGAGGTAACTAACACGCAATTACTACATCTGCAGCAATCTATTATTCCTAATCATTTGAAAAATAGCACCGATAATCATGCGCGTCGTCCCGACGATCTGTCCGACGATCTGTCCGACGCACTAATAGCGAATATGACAAAAAATTATAGGCCGTATTTTATCAAAGAAGCTAACGCTAAAGTGTATGACAAAAAAGGCATAAAGAACGCACACACCGAGAAAAGTGATAGCTATAACAAGACAACCGGTTACATGTTGAGGCAGAAATTTATCTCAGAATTTGACTTGGATGACGTGAAAAGTGAAATGTTGAAAGATTCCTGGAAGGAAGGATCTCGGGTGAAGTCTACAGCTTCACAGAAAAAACAGAATTGAATAATAATTACGCATGATCAGGATCACAGAACACTTGCCCGGTTTCTATATACATTTATACATGTTTGGCAAATTATTAATCGTTTAAAGTACTAGAATACATTTGTACATGTGTAGTTGTTGAAGACAAATTTAATATTGTGCAATCTGTATTCGTTTTTTGAAAAAGATATTTTTCGTTTTTAGATAATTATTGAAACGTTTGGGTTTCGTATTAGAATAAGTAGTTTTGATTATAACGCGAAACCTGAAAAGTTGGTCTCACTGTAAGTATTGATAATAATATTAGACATAATGCATTAAACATACGCCCACCTTCAAGCGTGCAAATCTATAGGTGGCATTTATGTAAGTCTTCTCTTCATAAACACAAGGAAAATCATACATATATATATATATAATATATTTATACACTTTAAATGTTTTCAAGGATTGATTGATCACATGTGATAATGTACGTTATTTATATTTGGATATTATAAAACATTTGTACATATTATTTAATGATATTCTATAAGCGAGTCGTAGCGCACTGTTTGAATTTTCTGTGAAAATTTGGTACTCTAACTTAGTATGTATAAAAATATAACATACATGCACATATGCAATCCTTTACTTAGTTTAAAAAACAATTTTATATAAATGTAGTACGACCTTGAATTTTTTTCACGTACATACTTACAATTTGAAAATAAAGAACAGTTTTAATATCCGCTACAGAATCGCTAATTAATGAATTATTATTTTAAATCTGGGGTAGAACCGCCCAAGTAAGATCTCAAGTCTGTTATCGTAGATCGTACTAGTTTAGCTTTTATAAATGGCCTTCCGAGCCTCTGATGAGCCGCATATCGGTGGCATCCACCGAAAGAATAATAATAATCACCTCCTACGAACAAGAAACGTTAGAAGACGTTACATAAAACTTACAAAGTTATTTTTATTACCCTCACTGCCTTTGATCCATAAAACGTCAATGGGCGGTACGAGTGATTCCGTATCAGGATCGCTCAGAGTGTTCGCTATACTCTGAACCTTTCCTTCATCGACGATCGGAGGAATAGGTCGAATGAGTACGCTCATCGGTACGTCATGAACCTCGGCGTTTGCGTCAGAATGAATACTAGTGGAACATAGCATGCTATTATCCATTTTCGATTCTACATTTATGAAATAAAGAGAAAAAAAGATATGACCACCTGCTTCTTTATAAAATAATAAATATCAAATGATATGATTAGCAATTGCTTACGCGAATATTTTTGTAACGATGTCGAAAATGTTGCAAATTGATTTATTCTAGGTAAGCGCATGAATGGATAGAATGTATTAAAACCTACAACAAACATTTTTTGTTCAAAAAATATCCCGTAGATGTACTTTTGCTTCAGTTCGTTTACATTACGTCATATCTGCATATCTATCGGTTTATAATAAATTAACAACATTACCTATGTTCGCGGCAAGTCACCCGTGAAATATCGAGACTTCGTCATATACGAATCTTTTACGTGTTTTCGAGATTATAGATATAAAAACTATCATAGGAGAGGGGATAGCATATCGCGACAAGTGGGAATGACGATGACCATGACGATAATCGTGATGACCATGATGAAATAAAAGAGATAAGTGGATATTGATTCGGATGATTTTAAAATAATAATTGGAGATGTAAATAGAAGTTACAAGTTTACCCTAAATAAATATAAAATACAACACCTGGAAGAATGTATCATTCTTCATTTATTGGTTGACTAGCTAAAAACGAATGTACGCGCTCTGCCAGATCTGTGAATGCACCAGCTGGAATACTCTTTGATGCTGACAACACGATTGGTTTGCCACTATCGCAACTTTCTACAATGTTCTCCGATAATGAAATACTTTGTAATATTTCTACACCTAAAAGAATAAGAGAAAGCTACAAATCTGTTTTAATAAATGTGTTCATATGTAGATAGTACCGAGCTCTTTGGCGATCGCTTCCGTCCCACCGTTGTAAAGACTTATTTTGCTGTTACATTTCGGGCATACTATGTTGCTCATATTTTCTACGATTCCGATAATTGGAATGTTCAAACGTTTAAACATATTAGCTCCTCTTCTCGTAACTTCTAGGGCTGCCTTTTGAGGCGTTGTTACTAATAATGCACCAGTGACAGGAAGATTCTGAATGATAGAGAGATGAGTATCTCCTGTCCCAGGAGGAGTATCTATAACAAGATAATCCAAGGGACCCCATGCTACTTGACGTAACAATTTATCAATCGCGCTCATTACCATCAATCCTCTCCAAATTACAGGAGACTTCTCTTCGATCAAAAAACCCATTGACATGCTATACGTACGACAAGAAACACCATGTCTTAAAGGATTCTGAAGAATGCAGATAAACCGCGTGGAGTTTTCTTACCATTTCACGCCGTAATTTACAAGGGGTTCTATGAGATTGTTATCGTTAACTATAGGAGATTCTTGTAAGTTCATCATTAACGGCACGGATGGACCGAACACGTCGGCATCGAGTAAACCGACAGACTTTTGCGGTGCGATAGTTTTTAATGCAGTCGACAGATTTACAGCGGTCGTAGATTTACCAACTCCACCTTTCCCAGATGCGACAACGACGATCTGTTTCACGCCTTTCAAAGGTTTCTGTTTCGGGAGGCCGCGCGACATTAGCTCTTTTCGTTTGTTCTCCATTTCTCGCTCTCGTTCCTTGTCAGAATCGAAACGGGTCTAAAATAGTAGAACTGATCAACGGTCATTCATAAATGATAATATGTTTCTCCGCGAACATTCGACGTCTGAAGTTTCTTGTATTATTATGTGACATCGATGGAAATCAGTAATTCCACATGTAGTTGACAGAATCGAGGGATACCGAGTTATCGATCGAACATCGCAGAGAACTATTATAGATAATGTAAAAAATGTACATACTAATGAGAGCGATCGGTAATTATTCGGCCCGTTATGATTCCGTTGGAAGCCCATGAAAATTTTGGCGGAGGTGAATGCTAACATTTTTCAACGGATCGCTTCACGAGACCGTCCTCGGTTACCATTCCTCTAACCTGACATCCCGAATCGCGCGATTACGAATCTTTTATTTCATAACTTTGTGGTAACACGATACACGAATATTAAAAATCGGCGTGTAGCGTACAGGTATTATGCGAACGGTATGCTTCAGGACAGTTCGGCTCGATAAAACATTTTACACGTCCTTGTTTACACTTATGGAAAATTTCTCATATGTTTCTCACCGAAAGTAACGTAAATGTTTAACGCGAGGGCGGTGCAGTTTTTAATTCATGCGAGTACATATCGGTAATGCGGTGCAATTTGAGTTTAACATAAATATGTGAAAGTAAGTCCTTTACTCATTTTCCAAGGATTTCTCGATCGATTACCAACCCATAAAGTCGTAATTCTGTTTAAACGAAAATTTGCATCGTTACTTCTTATTCCTCGTTTTGTTATTCGCATTATCATCCGATTGCGGTTAACCTAACTATGATCGCAACATACATGCAAAATGTTAACTTTCGTTTATCAAAGAAGCCGTATTACTTTTGCTGATATTTTATTTAGACGTAACTTTGAGAATTTAAATGTTGCGGTCTAAATGTATAGTCATATTTGATGATTCCTACTGTACGACGTTAACATTTGAAATCGAACATTACAACGGAAATATTAAAGTTAATAATCGTCTTATTTCATTGACATACTTAAGACTTCCTTGTTCGTCATTTTTAAAGGACATCGTCTTACATACGGTACCCCAGACTAAAAACATATCTGAGTTTTTGCCTATAATACTGTACATTATTATATTAAATGCATATGCGTCCAATTATGTTTATACATCATTCTTTGTTTATGTAGATAAAATATCTTATATTGGAAGTTCAAGGTAGACAGAATATGGGCCTAAACGCAGCTGTACAAGCTTTAAAGTAAGTCTGTAATTGTTCTTAGAAATAAGAGGAAGTAGTGTTCATAAAAATGTAATTATCTTAGGAAAGCCGAGCCATTGAAGGACAAAGTACAGCGTTGCAGAGATCTTTTAAATGATAGCGATGCATGGGTATGCCAGCAGCAACTACAAAAAATATATCAACAAGTTCTGATACTGGATTTAGAGTATGCCTTGGACAGAAAAGTCGAACAAGAACTTTGGAACCTTGGATTTAAAAACTATATAGCAACATTGCAATCCCAAGCAAAGGACAGAAAGAACCCTAAACGAGGTGAATCGCAAGCTTTACTCAGCTGGTGTTTGGAGGCCGCTAGTGGTTTCTATTTGACTTTATTACAAGAGATCTGTACTGCGTTCGATCTCGATTTACCGTTCAGGAGGTAATATTAGTTTTGAGCCAAACAACAAGTTTTATAGGACAGTTTATAGAACAGTTAGTGAGAAATTTTCTTAACGTTTTGCAGGAAGGGTTACATTTATGGATGTACATCACCATGGAAAGCTATTGAGAAGTTATCAGTGCCTCACAAATCTTCATGTTTTTACGCGTGCCAATATTGCCTTGTGCACTTAGGAGACATAGCCCGTTATAGAAACGAAAGTAAGCAAGCAGAAATGTTTTATCGGCATGCAGTATCGTTGTCACCATCCAGCGGGCAACCGTACAATCAGTTGGCCCTTCTCGAAGCGTCACGTGGCAATAAACTGGCAACTGTGTTTCATTATGCACGGTCTGTCGCAGTGAAACATCCTTTCCCCGTTGCTACTACGAATTTAGCGAAAACGCTGTCCTCCGCTCTGAACGATACGTCCCTCAACATTGATGGAAAAACAAAATTAACGTCCCAAGAATACATAGCGGTTTTCTTGAAGCTCCATGGCGTTATTCACAATCTTGGAGATTTGAAGATCGCTTCCACGTATGCGAAATTATTGACCGAAACGTTGACAGCTCTAATTGCGACAGAAAGCTTCAGCTCTTGGATGCTCGTTCAAATGTTCGTGATCAATTTGTACGCCTTGGAACATACAACGAATGTTGTCGTAGGTGGTACCGTCGAACCGTTGAAGAACGAACAATTGTCATCCGATGAAAAGATAGCGCGCGATTGTATATTAGATCTGATAGCTGGAAGTCTGTCTGCTCTGTTGCTACCCGTTTACACGATTAAAAACTCCATCATTGAGTATTTCGCTTTGCCTTCTATCAAACTGTGCCTTGATTGGATTAATACGAAGCCCACAGTTTTGGAGGAACTAGCTTTCACGTCTAGGCTACAAATCTGGCCGAGCCTGTGCGTGTTGTTGAACGCCCTGCAGAATTGCGTTGCCGATTTCGCCTACGATCAGTATGTTAAAGTACCACTGCCAGAGGATCGTGATCTACAAGGATTTTTACCACTGGAGAAAAGTTTCGAGTGTTTAAAGTTCACGAGCGTCGACCTCGAAGATAACGTTGAAGCTTCCAATAAATTACGCGCGGTTCGTATCCTTCGTTTGGGCCACTGTTTGGCACAGTATAGAATAAACGGTTCTGCGTTAATCGCTATCACATTAGGAGATGAGAAAGGTGACAACAAATTTAGCTCTATTAGCGAAGGAAATGGATTGAGCAATGAATTGATGAAAGAGCTGGAAGAGCTCAGTTTGAATAAAGGAAGGCAGTCCGTCGTCTCGACAAGTCCAGTGTTTTCAGAATCCGCGAGTAGCAAGGGCTCAGCAGACGTCGACATGCTGGAGGACAGTTTAGGTAGGAGGATAGGAATATTGAAGCCGCAAGGTTCGTTGGAACGAAGCAAAGATACTACAACAATGGCTGGAACCGTGGAGTCCAACACGTTTGAGAACAATACGGTGCAATCTGCCGCTAGGAGACCGAGACAGAATATAGCGATGCAGACTATAATGCGACGTGCTGAAAACGAACAGAAGCAAGTCACGTTTAAGAACGTGTCTCCGTTAATCGTGGAAGAAGAGAACGAGAAGAAGGCTAAGGCGGCTGCAACATCGGTGAGTCCAACGAAAGTTGTTGCACCAATTGGAAATAAGCAAACCGTATCAGCCGTTGGTGAACAACCGAAAACAAATAACGTACCAAACTCGTCTACGAGTACACCGATCACTATTCAAAATCGATTACCTTTAATGCCTTTCGCTACGAATACCGTTCAAAGTCAAATCAGTTCCGGTCAAAGTCAACCGACCAAAAAGGTAAAATTGCATCAGCACGCTGTCTCTCAAGCTTCTCAAATGAATCACCTCCCAGCGCCGAAAGAACAAACGTCTGGAATTCCGCCTCCAATGTCAGGAATATCTCAACCAATGGGAACTATTTGTTATCAAAACCCAACGTTCAACGTGCAGAATCCGCAATTTGCCAAAAATTACACACCGAATCACACTGGAAATCTCTCGAATTACTCAATTCAGGGACATTTCGCTAGTCCACCGCAACAATCTATACCGTCGCAGAATATCAATTTGCAACACCCGTCCGGTCAGAGTAGACCGATGCTTCAAAGAACGCAGACTCACAGTTTGCCACAGAATTCGCTGTTGCATCAAAATATCGGAATTGGAATACCGCCTTCGACTCAATCGAACAACATTATGCCAAGCGGTTCGCAGAATATTAACTGTCAACTCACGACGAACATGGGCTTGCAACCAAATCATAGTTTGAACATGCAACAGAGCCATAGCTTGGCTGTGCAACAACAGAGCGTTGCGAAGAATAATCTCAGACCCAACGCGATGTCTCTGCACAATCAAGGTGCGCTGGCTAACTCGACCATCGCAAGCGTCTCCCCTCTTTCGAGTTTAAATACATATCAGAAAACGCTTCATCAGGCCGCGTCCATGATGCCGACGAACGTGTCGAGCATGCCGCCAGGTAGCTCGTTGAGTTCGACAACCGTTCCGAACTTTCAGTTCAGTTTCAGTCAAGACGACTTCAACCAAAACGCTTTTGGTCAGATATCGCAGAAGCAATTGCCGTCGTCGGTGTATAATAAAAACTCGGATGTCTTGGAATTCTCGTTACCTAATCATGTGGCTATGTCGAAGAATCAGTCTCAGTCCGCAAACAATTATCCGCTTTTTCAAAACTTCGAAGCAACCAATTTTAATTTGTGGAAAGATACCCAGCACTCGCAGCTGTCGGCACCTTGTTGGGAATCGAGCAGAGGCATGCAATTGCATACCGAGGACACCAGTCTCATGGAAAATTATCACAATTGGGAAGACTCCGCCAATCCCGGAAGCATGATATCGCAAATTCCATTGAGAACATCGACTAGTTATCAAACGGACTCACAGCAACCCAAACGTTTCGATGCTGGAAATAATTTCAACAGTTCTAGGCCCCTAGAGGTACGTGCTTCATGGTTTAATTACGGAATTTTGTGTATCATAAAATATCATCGTGTTGCAGATAGACACAAAGTCGAATCAGTCGATCAGTACGGGAAACACGTACTCCCTGTTTAGTAGTAACAACGCTTGGGAATCTAATTCCCAAGGCTGTAACTCCTCAAGTCAAGATCAGGCGAAGGCTCGGCTTAATCAACAGTCTCTGTGGTTTGGACCTGGACCATCTCCCTTGGAACGGCTTTTGGAACAGCAGAAATCATTACGCGAAGGAGGTACCTGAAGGAAAGCAATATAAATTATGTCGAAGTATATCGGAAAAAAAACGTATCCAATCTATGGATTCAACTAATCAAGGAGAAAAAGCGAACTGCAATAAAATTTCATCGATCGTTCGACGAAAAGTGTTAAAAATTTGTTACAAGCAACAGCAGAAATAGGCGAGATGTCGCGTAGTCGTTTAGACGATCGTTTGTACGAAAGCGAACAATACATACGTCCAAGGCGTTATGAAACGCAGTTACATATATAAAAAAGAAAAACAAAAAGTAGATGTTAATTACTTACATTATTAATTGTTACGCGCATTATAGAAAACAGAGTTAGTGAATACTGCGCAAACCAAAAAAAGAGAAATTGATTCTTTTCAATCTATTTAGACGCGTGCATTTAATTTGTGTCGCTTAAAAGGAAGAATGATACTCAACGACAGAACGACCTGTCGTGAAGTAACTAAATAGTATAAGGATACCATACACGAATCACACGATTGATCTTTAATAGCGTTAACTGTACAAGTTCGGAGACATACATAGACATTATTTAGTGACTCGATTTAAAAAATTATGTACGATTTTTCTTTACGAGTAACAATACCTTTGCAAAGGAAAAGATAAGGAAAATGAGATAAATTAAAAAGAAGACACGCATACTTGATGTACGAAAAATATGTATTTACACTTTCCTTACTGTCCACCACCTTAAAGCAAAATCTACTTTTGAATACATAAGAAAATATACGAAACAAGCGTGAAGTAAAATATTCGCATAATGCAAATTTCTCCAGACAAACTACAAATTATTTCCAAATTTTATTTTAAAATACACAAGTTAAACTTCAATGAAAACTACATAATACTTTGGTAATTTTATCAATTTTATACCCGTCATTTCTATTAAATAAATATAACACAGAATGCTGTCAAGAAATATTCATGTGTTACACTTACTGTCGGGTTATTAACTTAATTACGTATTAATTCAAATAAACTGAAAAAGAAAAAATCAATGATTAAAATAGGCTTGGAATGGGGTTGTTAGATGGTGGATTTCGGCGAATTTCTGTTATCTTCAATGTACAGTCCAACGTCTTATTTCTTTTGACATGAAACATCTTGTCCTTGTTTAAATGAAACTCATGATTAGAAATCATTCTGATATTAGGATCGCATGATTTTACCTGTTATACAAAGGAGAAGGATGAGAAACTCATTATCATTTTATATTTACAAAAGCAAATATTACTTACTATCCCCTGATTTTTTAGCAAGACATTCCGACATGACACTCCAAACTCGCAGGAAAATATTTTAGGTATACTCTGATTTACTAATATCACAACTGCTTTCAGCTCTCCGCTGGTATGAATTGTGATATTAAAAAAAAATAAACCCATATTACTTATGTGAAAGGCAAAATCATATATTTTTGGTAATTCTTCCTTTGGTAATTCAAACTTTTTAAAGAACGTTTCCCCGGCGTTTATCGCGGTCTAAAATGAAGTATTTTTAATGAGAGTATAAAATCTCTGATAAAAGAAATGTGCAGTAGGATGTTAATACCTCGCTGAATATATTATTATGTTCTCTTTTTACATGAATTATTAGAGAAGTATAATCGTATCTGCGTTCGCATTTTCCAATATTGCACGGATAAAGAATTTTCAATTTTTTGTTATTAGACGGCTGGTTGTTTTGTCTATATGTAGGTGTTTCTTTGAAATCAGTTTGTGTACATACACTTCTAACTGCTTTCTGCAGTATTTCTTTTTTGTGCTGTTCCATATACTCGTGGCATATTTTATGCACGTTCTGCCTCTCCTTCTCGACTATCTTTTCGATCGATTCCTATTTAATCCAATAACATCGATATAAAAAATTTACATGTAGCTAAAATTGCAAACTGTATTATTTTTTAACTTCATTGCAACTTAGTCTTAAAAAAATCTTGCAAATAAAAGATAAAGTTTACGCTTTATGTAAATGACATGTGAAGTTGCAGAATTGTTGTATAAATTAATTATAATACATGGTCATCATGTTTCTAAGAAGAATGGAATAAAAGTTAAATTCAAGTAATAAACCTGTAATATTTCCAAGGATCCAATGAACTTGTCTAAGAATAAATTTTTTGCTTCCGTGAAGTCTTGAAAGCACGTTGGGCATATTTCTAACTTTTTTGCTTTATGACACGACTGACACACATGATGTCCATTTATGCACAACAATGCGCTTGTTTGTGGTATATCCAAACATATTGGACATTCAATATCCAGCTCTAATGCTTTAATCCAGGCCTGTAAGCACAAAGAGCATATTTAATATTTAATAATTTAATATTAATGTGCACATTTCAGCATTTAATACACAATTTGCGATTACAATCGCAGTTAACAATCAAGAAAAGAGTAGTTCAAAATCTTAAAATAAATGTCAAAAGATATCTTTACCTTATACTCATCCATTACAGCACGTTATAATATTTGGAAGTAATTATATTTCGCAGACTTTAATACGGATTTTAGATCCTTCCTACGTAAGTATATAAGACACTATCGTATTCGTATTATTCTTATCTGTACTAATCAGATAAAATAAGAGACAATATAGTTTTGCTGTTTTTGTCTTCAAGTCTTCAAGGGTATTCCCCGAAATAATGCGTCTTGATAAGTCCTAAATCTAACGCGCATATGTAGTGGCGTTACTGTTTTGTTTACGGGTCGCTTACGTTTTCAGTTTTCACTAGTTTTCACTTCTGCACTGGTGGAATGGTAGGTGTGGTGTGTCATCTGCTTGACGTGATGTCATACCAATAATTGCGAATATAGAATATTCGTAATTGCGAATTGCAAATATAGTATATATATAAAGTATATTATCATACGTGATGGAAGAGTACCCGGCAATTAATGTGCGTCTAGCAGTGAACAGGGTTGATTTAAATTTGATAAAAAACAGTATAGATACACAACCTCGAATATATACACCGGGCGAAGAGATATCTAGTCAGCCTGACTTCTTAAGGTGAGCACTTTTATTTTTATTTACATTTACATGACTGACAAAGGTTATCATTTATTATATAATTTTATTAGAGGACATGGAACGTACGTAGATGATGAAAACACATTGCGCGCGTCTGTGGCTGGGGTTTTGGAAAAGGTAAACAAACTGATTTCGATAAGACCTCTGAAAGCTCGTTACCAAGGTGAAATAGGGGATGTAGTTGTTGGCCGCATAACTGAAGTACAACAGAAAAGATGGAAAGTCGATACAAATTCTAAACTCGACTCTGTGCTGTTACTCTCCAGTGTAAATTTACCAGGTGGAGAATTGGTATGTTATTAAAGCATAATGAGTTTATTTTCCATCATTCTTCTTACTCATATGTGATCTTACTCATCGTCTCAAAATTTTCCAGAGGAGAAGATCAGCAGAAGATGAACAAACAATGAGGAGGTATCTCCAAGAAGGAGATTTAATTTGTGCAGAAGTACAAAGTACTTTTGTGGATGGTGCTCTTTCGTTGCACACTAGAGTCTTGAAGTATGGCAAGTTATCTCAAGGCATAATGTTGAAAGTCTCGCCAGCTCTTATAAAAAGGAAGAAAATCCATTTTCATAACTTGGCAAACGGCGCTAGTTTAATATTGGGAAACAACGGTTACGTTTGGATTGGAGCTAGTATACAAGATGTTGACAGATCAGAAGGTGGTTTCACCCAGGATTTATCGAGAATACCTCAAGAGAATCGTGCAGTTTGTGCGAGACTACGTAACTGCATATTGATCTTGGCCCAATGTAACATGCAACTTACAGACACATCTGTGACATACGCATACGAAGAATCTATGAAATATAAAGTAAGTGAATTACTAGAACCTGAGGTGATGGTTGATATATCGTTGTTAACTCACCGAAGATTGATACAATAATCTCTTTAATTTTTTACAAAATGTTAAAGTACTCAAGAAGGGAATAATTTTATATTGTCAATTCCTAATGTAAAAATGTGTAACAATAAAAAAATCGAAGCAGTTTTGACGTACATTCGTTGTTTCACATTTCCATCCACTCGGAGTAGCCTGTCACTGAACTGTATACAATGTCATATTGAAATTCTCGCAGCATTATGCAGAAATGGAAATGCGATGTATATTAATACTGCATTTGAAGCAGAATACATAGTACATGGTACTATTTTATTGGTACCAATAATCCTGAAGATGTTCGGAAATTAGTATATAATATCTGTGCGCATCGGTAACGCAAGTATTGATTCAACAAATAACTTGGAAACAAGGAATTGCAGGAAACAAAAATGGATGCATGTTTTACTGCATTCGATAAAGACGGAGATGGATATTTATCTATCATTGAATTTGAATTCATCTGTCGTGCATTATTCCGTAACGATCGCGGGAAGGTCTACAGTATCGAGGAAAATCAATTGAAGGAAATATTTTCTATATTCGACTTGAAGGGAGATGGGAGAATTGATAAAGAAGAATTCGAGGTAGCTTCTGTTTTAATAATACGATATTATTAATGCGATTATTTACTAGTGTGTAATTCTAATCTTATGATTCTTTTAGTTCTGCTGGAATCATTGGATCAAAGTGTGCACTCGTCCGAAAAGCGCTTTCTTAATCGTAGACGTGCAAAATGACTTTATATCGGGTTCGTTGAATATCAAACAATGCGCCGCACAGCACGATGGCTTGGAAGTGATTGAACCCATCAATCGTTTATTAGATACTGTGCAATTCGATGCTGTATTTTATTCTCTCGATTGGCATCCTGCAGATCACGTTTCCTTTATCGATAATTTACATCTTAGGTAATTAATTGGGATGGATGTCCTGAATAAACTTTTTTCACGTACTAAGGACAAAACCACGTACAAATCGAATTTGTTTTTCATATTCAGGGAAGTCGACGACAGTAGTGGAATCTCGAAAGAAGCAGCGCAAGTTTACGATACCATAACGTTCAGAGGACCACCGTTGCTGAAACAACGTCTGTGGCCGCGGCATTGTATTCAAGATTCGTGGGGCGCGGAACTTCACAAAGATTTAAAGATCGTGGACAATGCGATTAAGATATACAAGGGAACCAATCCGGACGTAGACTCGTATTCTGTATTTTGGGACAACAAGAAGATGATGAAAACAAGCTTGTCCTCGCAGTTGCAGAAGAAAGGCGCGACAGACATATATATCTGCGGATTAGCTTACGATGTATGCGTGGGTGCCACGGCGGTGGACGCTCTCACGAGCGGCTATCGGACCATTCTTATCGACGATTGCAGCAGGGGAGTAGATCTCGTCGACATCGAAAAAACGAAGGCAACTGTGATAGCCGATAACGGAGTAATCGTAAACTCGAGCCAGGTAAAAGCGATGGTTCAAGGTAGAGATCGGCGACCGGAGCTTGGATACAAATTAGCCTTGGAAATTAAACGCAAATTCAATTTAGAAGTTGATAATCGATAATTCTTATTTCTTAGTAGAATGGGAATTAAGTACATGTGATATAGATATGCCTTGTTAAATAAAAATTAGATAAGCAATCGAATATTTTATATAGAAGGCTTGGGGTATAAGAAAGTATGTAAATAATTATTAAATAAAGTATTTTCCTTTTTAAACTGTGTACGCAGAGATATTAAGTTAGCTCTCCTATATGGGTTGAATGTGCGTGCAAAGTGTCGTAAGACTTGAATAATTCCTGAATGACCTAATAACTGCAGTTATGGGGTATCGTCATGGATATAGACTGTCCTGATCACAGTTCTGACTCCCGATTCCCATGCCATAAGATGTTTCTTTATACAGAGAATTGTAAAGACGAGAGATGTAATTTTAAATTCAACCAAGAGCGCAATCGTTCCGCCCACCAGACGCGGTTCGTACAATAGCCGATAGCCCAGTCTTTATAGGTAATTGAGGAATAATGAAAAAGAAATATCTGAAATCTTATAAGTGAAATCTGAATTTTATTATTCCTCAACGAACGACGCTGCGATTAGAATTCGTCAAATAATCCATTTTGAATCTTGTTGCAATGCCATCTAACGAGACTTAATCGAAAATTTCTTTGACGTTTCAGACATACGCGTCCGCGGTCTGCGCGTCTATGGTTCTGCCAGGTTCTGCTCGCGTGGAAAGTCAACGAGAAAAATTTGTGACGTGCTTAACCCACATCCTCCTTCTTAGTACCCGTAAAATGTCCGTACTTTCGTGACTTTTTCCCCAATTTCCGATCACCTAAAGAAATCGATCTGTGAGCGTTGAAATCTGGCATAGGTAAAGACTCGAATGTTATAGTACGCGAGAAAATAATGCTTGTACTAGCGTATGGACACCAGTGCCAGACACGATAGCTAGGTGAGTGAACGTACAGAGAGGTCCCTGAACGCTAAGTTCGCTATCACAGCTGGTATTTTGACTTTCGTCACGACGTTTACCATTCATCGTTATTCCGCTCTCCCTCGTTCGCTAATCGTGTTATTTCCGTACAGAAAATTGCTACTCACGATTCCCGTTACATAATTAAAGAAATTTTTAATTTCCCTGTGCGGGAACCTTTCTCGAGAGAAAGGAGAATCATTGCGAACGCTAACGGAATTTAACGTATTTTGAAATAAATTTTAAGCGATTTACAGACTTCTCTTCGTTCTATAAAATATTTCTTCCGCGCGTATTTACGTGTCATTTGACGTATTTACGGAAAGCGATGACTGTAAAAGCGAATATCTAATGACCTATATATTTATATTTTGTATTGTGATAAAGTAGTATATGTTTAACTTACTATTCAATTATAAAATATATTTTTAATACTGATTAACGTTATTAAATATTCATGAACCACTGTGCAAAATAAGAATGATTTTGTCTGATAATAGGAGTAATAACTCTCTCATGAGTTGCAGAATGTGTTAATGTAAGCATACTTTCTAGTATACAAATTGTTATTTTTCCTAGGTTTCATATAAATAAAGAACAAAGTTTTACTGTCCTAAAGGCAGTATGAGTGTGAGTACAATAGCTGAGAGTACAGTGTTCAAGGTGATTTGATTTAAACCACTAATATTGGAAACATGTTTTTAGAATCCTTATAGAGCCAGACCAAACAGGTCTAAAATAGATCAGAGTTTAGGATATGGAGCTCGAAATCAAAATGTCTGGAATCCAATGTCCAGAGTACCTGAGTCTGAAGCACCTCCAAATGATCTTATTCAACATCAACCAGCCATTCTGAATCAGCCAAAACCGACAAATGATCCTTGGAATAATTCATGGAATTGGGACTTTGACAAACAGACAGATAATCAACAGCAACAGCAACCACCGCAACAAGAGCAACAACAGCCAAAGCAGCAGCAATATGCGCCTTATGGCAATCAAGGGCAATTTATTTCCAATTCCATACAAGATCATTATTATCAAAATGTTAATGGTAACAAATCGGACGTGCTGAATCAGAACTCGATGCCAGATAGAAATGTCTCAGGGACGGTCGCTAGTAGACCACCAATTCCGCATCATACCGATTCCTTCACGCCTTATTCAAATTATGCTCAATATCAACAGTACCCTCCTCCTCCTCCTCCTGCTCCTCGATCAGACACTGTTAAATCTGGTTCTATGAATTTCGATCAGTCTTCATGGACGAATGAACAGCAGTCTCAAAGTGTTTCGTATCCGCCTAGTATACAAAACCAAAAGGATCAAACGCCGCGTTCTTCTCTAAGTAGTACCAATTACAATTGGATCAATCCTGATCAACCGAATGTAATGGCTCCACAGATTTGGCAAAATCAGGGTACTGTCCAAGGACACTGGCCTGATCATAAGATGGATAAAGAGACGCATTTCGATGATATGGGTAATCAGTATATGCCACCGGTGCAACAAACCAGATCTAATCAGCATCATTTACCGCCTATGAATAATAAACAACATTCCATGAATGATACCGGTAATTGGTCGAATCAAGTTAACACGTCTGCTCCTCAATGGAACATTCAGAACCGTGAATCTGCGTTACCCAATCAAGGTCAACAAGTAGTCGAGCCTTATCAAACTAATAACGAATTTAATTCATGGGCTCAAACACCTAGTGCCGATGCTTCGCAAACATGGAAAAAATTGGAAGACACACATCCGAGCCAGTGGTTACAAGAACAACAAGAAAATAATAATCTAGTAGAAGAAAACGTGAAGCAAGAAAATAATGGTGGGACAACGATGAACGAATGGCAACATAATCGTGGGATGCCGTCTCAACACAGTTTACCGAACATTGTCCCACCTGTGGAACCGAATATCGAACACGAAGAGAGGAAAAGATCTATACCTTCCTTAATTCCGAATTCTAAAGATTCAAATATCCATACGAAGATAGCTAAACCACATCCTGATTCGCGAATGAACGTATCTATTACACCGGAGACAGTGTCGACCGTGGCGAGTTCCGAAAACGTTTCCGTACAAGAGAACAACGATTTCATCATGGCGAACGATCCGATGGAGGAGTTGCCTACAAAATTGGAGCAATTGAACCTTGCTACTAAGCTAAGTAAACAAGTAGAGAATCAAAATGAGTCGAAAGAATTGCAGCCTGTCCCGCCCGAGGATGGATGGAGACAGAATAGTTCCAATGATAGTGCCGTAGCCGGCAACATGTCCGGATTACTCGGCGCGGAAAGTTCTCATTCCAGTGATAATCAAACGGTCGTTAGTCAGGAACATTCATCGCTCAGTATGTATCAAGCAACGAACCTTATGCCTACGGATAATATAGCACAAAGCGGATACGATCAATGGTACAGTCAAAACGCGTTGTCGCTTTCCGCGGATAATACATGGTACTCGAAGGACCATCCCCGTCCACCGAAAGAATGGAGTACCGAGCAGAACGTAGAGAATTACGAAAATATTCAACAGCCTTCGGAGTTCGTGAACCTAGAAGTAGTGACGCCTTCGTTACAGAAACGCGATATATACGGCTCGAGGGATTCCATAAACAAGGAGACTTTAGATAACGATCCTAAACCCATCTTGAACCCTGCCAAAGAAGTAGGTGGTTCGCGAGATTTTAGACAAGAAATAAGTAACATCGAAGTGCCCTCCATTCAACCATCAGCGCGATCTCATTCTCTCCTTCAATCCGAACAGGTACGATTTTTGGAAAATGAATTAGCATTTATTTCCAGACAATAAACATAAATTGTGTATCGTTTACAGGTGCCAGATAATTATGAGTTCGCGTCGAACGACAGGAACACGTTCTTAGAGACCGGCGAATTAACTGATTCTCACCAGGAACACGAACCAACTCCGCCGAGTCAAGACGATGAGAACGACGAAGTGCCTAACGATATTCCCTTCTTGCGCGAAGTACCGGGACAATCCAGTTCCATAGATCCCCGTAGGAACGATCCAACCGGACAGGAACAATATGTGCAATCCGGACAAAGATTGTCCGATCCAAGGAGAAACGATCCCTCTGGCCAGGAGCAAGGTCTTCAACTGAGAAACATATCCGAGAGATCGGAACGACGCGACGTTCCATCTGGACAGGAAAGGAACCTTCCTTTACTCTCGCGGTCGGATTCCGAGACGCTGGAACGCCGAAATGATCCGTCTGGTAGAGAACGATCTTTGCCCCCGCAACAATCGCGAAATGATCCCTCTGGAGAGGAGAGACATCAATCCCAACCTCAAATTATGATGGAGCCAAGCGAAACTAGGGAAGTTCCAGGAAGAGGTAACGAGCCTGAGGATCCTGCTGAGCAAACGGACGAAAATCTTAGGCAAATACCAGGCGGAGCATCTCCGAACGAAGCAGTTCCGTCTTCGGATGACAGACCCAATGGAAGAGTCGTCACAGGTTCTCAAGAAGCTTCTTCCATAGGCTGTAAGAAATAACACTATACGTGTTAGCGTACGTACGATGTTCAAGAATTCGTTTTTATATGTAGTTTCGTATCTTATTTCAGCTGCGATACAAGATCCAATTAGCGATTCGAGAAGCAAACGCGAACAAGCTGTCGGTGCATCGATGCGCGAGAGTCAAGGTGTTTCCAGCGCATCTAATCGTAGAGATTCGTACGAGGACGAGGATGACGAAGGCTCTGGAAATAGTAGAGACGACAGCAGAGAAAGACTTCGAGACAGTAGCTCGGAGCACCGGCGATACGGGTACGATGAAAAGAACGCGTAGTTACTAAATCTAATAACAAAATGTTAACCGATTTCCGGGGCTCTTTGATCGAGATCTTATAATTTATTTGCAGTTACGATCGCGAACGAGAATACGACGATGATTATTATTACGGTCGTCGTCGGGGAGGAGAACGCGACGAGTTCGAACGCCGGGAGATTCCTTATCGAGAGGAAGACCGTAAACATCATAGCCGAGACGATCTGGACAGGCACGCGAGGGAAGAAATCGATAGAAGAAGTAGAGCTAAGGAAGACATCGATGAGAGAGATATGAGAAGAAGGCCCGACGATCATAGAAAGGACGATGGGATGCGACGTAGAGATATTAGAGACTTCGATCCGCGTTATAGAGATCGCGATTATCTCGATCGTGAGAGAAGAAGGGATGATAGACGACCGAGACGATACGATGACTACGATATAAGAGATCCATATAGGAGAGATTATTACGATGATCCTTATAGTAGAGGGTGTGTACTATACTTTGTAGTGTTTTACGATCATCTCGGATAATAGTTCACTTACGCGATCCTGCTTTCTAGATCTAGGCCGTCCAGTAGATCGTCCTACAACGACAGAGACCGAGAGTACTACATGCGAACGAGAGATCCATATTATCCTTATAATGGTACGTTTTTTGTACAATTCATCGAATCTTCTTTATAAAAGTTAGATGAATTTGCGTTATAGGATACCCCGGATATGATTATAGTGTTCAATATGCTAATAACTATTATGCGTATATTGAGAATTTGCGACGTACAAATCCTGCAGCTTATTCCGAGTGGTATCACAAGTATTACGCTAACCAACATCAACAGCAACATTTTTCGCGTGGCGTCAGCAACTATCCAGAGGACAGAGCGAGCGTTCATTCGGGGCGTAGCTCCTGCGATGAGAGGTGAGTTAAAAAACAATTCTGATACCAATGCCATTACTTTCTGCGACAAATAACTCTCCTATAGACCTTACAATAATGATTGTGTGTTAGATTTTTTACAAATCCAAGTGCATGCTTCCACTCGCCAAACAAAGCATTATATGTTCCGTATTTCGGGTATCCTGGATGGGCCAGGAGTCCGCAACGAAGACAGAATTCAAGTTGTCGAAATTTAAATAGGTGAGACCGAGAGGAGTCTCTCGGTTCGGCACTTATTTCAGATATCAAAAATCTTCTGTTCTTGCTGAAAGTAATTTAGTTAAAAAATATTTTCTGTACTACTCTTTAATCATTGATATTTTTCAGTAGCCGGTAGAAGAGCTAGACACTTATCTTAATTTTATATTTTTAATACTCTAGGTTTTTGTAGAAACAGTTTGTCTGTCTTGTTTTATCGTAGCTATCCTGCTTCTCCTGTCATCCGTTTCATCATAATTATACTTTATAAAAAATAGTAATCATTCTTTCAGGACGACTGGTGATAAGCGAACCGTAGGCGATAATTCAATGCTCGAAGACTCGACGACGACCTCCGCGCGAATGACACCGACTAAATATTCTATTTCTCACGCATATGGTATGATTTCAAGTTACACAATTTATTGATCTGAATCCACGCTATGCAATGTCGTATAATCAATTTCATGTTTAGGATGTTTTTCTATCGGGTCTTTGATACATGTGCATCCGGCTTATCCATCGGACGGCGACAGAGCTAAAGTAGACATTATTAGATTGGATAATTTACTTTCACACGATCCCGTAGCACGTGAATTACGAGCTTACCCCGGACCTCTAATTAAGCAAGTGTAATCATTACACTTACGGTCTAAGCATGCATATATAAGTAGTTCTAGCACCAATTTTCAGCGATAGATACATTTAAATATGCATGTCTAGAAACGTGACGTCACGTGGCTTACTATTAAGATATTTCTCTTTCCTTTATTCAGGGGTGTCACTCATAAAAAGACTATTATCGAATATTGCGAGAACAAGATTAAAAAGGCATCTACGAACGAAGAGATGGTTGATCGAGCTTCGTATATTCTCCTATATGAATTGATGATTATGCTGATTCAGCAGAATGGAGTAAGATAAATCCTTCAAATGTAAATTCGCCCATCGTATCGTTGCTATATGTCTATATTTTTGTAGAACGTCGTCGGTGTCGATATAGCATCATTGTTACTTAGAAACAAAGATGCGTACCCTTACGACGCGAACAAACACAAGTCGCAGGACCCGGGAAGAAGAGAATCGGTGATATCGCAACGCTCGAATATCTCGGGTGGCGAGAGCAATCAAGATGCACCGACTACCGAAAAAACAGAGAGCAAGCCACCGAAAAGCATCGAACAAATAACGGACGAGTTCCGTAACACATTGCTCTACGGATTGGTACAAGAGGCATTAGGTACGTCTATGCTTTTTATGTTTGTCGACATTTTATTTGATATTCTATTTATTGCGCAGAGTATGCGATGAACGAGGGGCTTTGGGGCCACGCGCTCTTCCTAGCAAGCAAACTAGACAAACGCACTCACGCGTCTGTGATGACGCGTTTCGCCAACAGTTTACCATATCACGACCCGTTGCAAACTTTGTACCAGCTGCACTCTGGCCGTGTGCCGGCTGTCGTTACCGGTATATCCGATCCACGGTGGGACGATTGGAGACCTCATTTAGCTATGATCATATCTAACACATCGGCTAATCCAGAGATTAATCGTCGTTCGATCACGACTCTCGGAGATACTCTTTCCGCGCGAGGAGATATCCATGCGGCGCACTTCTGTTACATACTCGCGCAAGTTGATTTTGGTGCTTACGGAGCAAACAACGTGAAGCTGGTGCTGATCGGTGCAAATCATCATAAACCGTACAACGCGTTCCTCTCTACGGAAGCCGTCATGCTCACAGAAATATACGAGTACGCAAGAAATCTCAGCGAGCCAGGATTTACATTGATAGATCTGCAAATGTTCAAGTTCGACCTGGCTATAAAAATGGTAGACCACGGTCTAATAGAGAAAGCCTTATTGTATATAGAACAGATCGCAGTAAACATCGTCAACGAGCCTTCGAGGTACAAACGATCGTTTATAAATGCGGTTTACAATTTAGGAGACAGAATCAGGTACCATGATCCTGTTTACAAGGATTCCGTCGACGAAGCTACGACTTTAACTTGGTTCAACAACTTGGCGGAGATCATTGGTAAATGCCATGTAAGTGGAAACACCGCAAGAAACGCAACGTCTTGTTTTAGCGATACAAACGTGGATTAAAATATATATTTCAGGCTGGAGAGATTACCGACAACGAGGTTTGCGCTCTTCAGACGAGAACGGAATCGCAGACAGTTCAAAATCAAGAGATACATGAAATAAAGCAACAACAGCAACAGTGGAATGTTCAATCCGAATACAGGGAAGCACCGGCTTCGATGATGGAGGTAACCGCAGCCGATATGCAATCGGAATGGCAGCCGCTATCGTTGCCATCGGATGTTCCGGAACCGTACGATCAGAGTATGCAGTATACAAGAAATAACGAGGAGTCGATTCAATATCAACAGCCGCAGCAACAAGACTATTGGAACCAAGATCCCTATTATCAGAGTAATTATGGGAGGAATGACAGCGCGATCACAAACTGGCAACAGTCGACGTACCCTAAGGTACAGAGTGACATCGATGATTCTCAGCAACAGGAAAAGTGGAACTATGAGGTAAATCTCGAATTTCAATTATAATTTGTTATATCATACTATTTGTGCTTTCATATAGTGGGTATCGTCCGCCGTTATACATTTATTATTCCTAATTGCATGCGTACAGACAGTAAGCCTCTAAGCAATAACTTTTTTTAACCTTGTTCTTGATGCTTACGTACGGACAGACGGAAAGGGAAGAAAAAACGCCCACACTTGAAGTAAGTAATTACGTGGCTACTGCGGATAATATTGTCGAATCCGAGTGGTCGTTGGACGGGACCAACGGTAGCTCGTTACGGCGACGCAAAGTATTAACCGATTCGGATCGATGCGTCACTCCTCATTCTTCCGATTCCAATATCAGTATTTCCACGGGTACATCGTCGATTTCTAATCCCTTTAGATCAACGAACGGAGACAAAAATTCTACAAAGTCGCGAAAAACGATAACGTATCCAAAAATCTCAGCTGCGTATCCGAGAATTTTGTCGAATAGTAAAATTCTCCCGAAGGACGTGAATAAAATAAAGAAATTAGATGGTCGATACGTGAAACCGCCTTCTTCGCAACCCCCCGTGTTTTTAAAATGCAAAGTTAAAAAGAAAATGGGCGAAAATAGGACCTCCGACAATGTAGACGAGAGCAGTTTAACTTCATCCGCGACTACCGATTTAGACATACAGTTTAGCAAAGTAAGCTTCGAGTCCTTCTCCAAGCTCGATACCAGTTTGAGCAGCGACATGGCTACAGTTTCTAAAAAGGCGTGTCAGACTTTGGAGCAGTATTGTGATTTCGAGGAAAAGAGAGTTATGAGAGTAGAACCGCACATCCGAAGGAAGGACGTTATTTGTGACACGGTAGACGCATGGTCCTACACGAATTCCTCGCAGAATTCTAGGGAATCGGGTCGGTATAAGCCACTAATTTTCGGTGGAACGTATCCGATCGATTTACCGGTTCGACCCACCAAAAGTGATCTCTGTTTAACCGAATTCGAACATGTTCCTATTGAGAAGTCCATCCCTAAAACTTACGATATCGATGTTCCCACGAATTGTGAGTAGCGTTAATGCGTTCGTTAGGTCTTTGGGTAATGCGCGTTTGTGACTTGTGGTTGTACTCGTAGAACATGTTAAAGACACTCTTGTAACTCATTTCTTCCGCTTGTGTACACACAGGAGTTGACTGAATGGTACATTTTATGTGTTTATTAGAAGAGCGGCTAAGCCAGATATTTGATACAGAACTAACGAAACTTGTTCTTGTTTTTTAGATGCCGTTTATATGTACATAAGTCTGTTAATGTTAAATATACAATAAAGTTTCCCATGTTATACACTTCATTGAATTGTTCAAAGATTTGCCTCTCTGTCATTCAATAGACATATTCATTCGTGGTTCCATCGTTTGTATTTCGTTTTACGATATTAAATACGCAAGCAAAGTTCTTCATTATTTACTGTGGTAGTTGATTAATTTCTAACGAAGAAATCGTTTCTGAAGCATACTACACAGGAATGAACACGAATTTGTACTATTACAGTAAATAGTGATCGACTTTGCTGGAACAACTTTGCGATGATCAATCGTATACTTTATTTCAGTCGTCGCAGCCAGCTATTTCGATGACACCATCGACGAGAAAGCAATACGACCCTCTGGAGGAACTGGACGCGCTCGAAACTCCGAAAACATCCTTGAAGCTCACAGGTGCACCGAAGAAAGTTTCCGAGAAGCCGGTCGAAAAGAAGCCTTCCAACAGCGGAGGGTCTTGGTTCGGAGGCCTGTTCAGTAAACTTGCTCCAAAACCGAGGAACCAGATGATCCTACCGGACGACAGTAACCCAGCGGTAAGGGTTCTTTAATATATCCATTTTCAGTAGATTGTTAAAAAGATGTGGATAGATGGTTTTATATTTTTGTATCGCTTAAGGGCTCACGCGGGTATCACTTATGGTAATTATGACGTCTTTTATGATGCGAGAGAAAAAGGCCAGTATATCTCAACTGTTCGGTCGTTTAATTAACCGCTAATGAATTATACTGTGTATTTTCTGGTTTAACTTTCGTTTCTAACACATTAAGCTGCACAGACATTGAAATTACTGATGGAGCCCTGTAGTTCAGTAGTTCTTTAATAAAATATTTCGTTCCGTTCGTTTAAATAGGGAAGGTAACGTTTATTTGATATTTTGATTTTATTTAAATAGATCGTTTGGGATCCCGTGGCCAAGAAATGGATGAACAAGGACGAGGACGGGGACAGTAGCTCTGCCACGATTGCGCCTCCTCCCAAAGCCTCGGACATCCCGGGATTCAGACCACCTGCGCCGGAACCAGTTCCCCAATCCTCTCAGCCGCTTCCGCATGCTGACGAATTGGGTGTTAACAAATTCAAGTTGCCCAAGGGTAGAAGCGTACGTGCCAATTACATAGACGTGATGAATCCCAGTGGTCCAAAGAGCAACGCGGCATCCTCGAGTATGCCGACACCGGTAACGTCTCCAATGGTGCCCATGGCCACTTCGTCGCCTCAATTGTTTATTCCTGCCTCCGGTAAGTTTTTCATCGTTTCTAAAAGTCCATCAGATTCTTCTTCAATCGCTCAAGTCGGAAATTCTGTTCTAGTTAACGATCCAAGTGCCCCCGTGGACTTCTTAACACCCGCGACGACACAGGCCGCACCCACGACAAACGTCTCTGAAAATGCATCGCAAGGGGTGAGTTCCCCTTTTCTAACGAATGATAATTCTTGAGAACTTCTTCGTACACTCGATTCACAAACATCAATACAACATTAACAATACAGTTTCATACGTTGTATGTATATTTGAAACCTAAGACTCGTACACGACTCTTCTCAACACTACCTATGTGTCATGGCTGCAGTATGCTGGTATGCAGCTTCGTTGTACTCTTACAAGTTTTTCTGGAACTGTAATGTTAAGAACTGTTACTTTCTCGCGGCGGTCCTTTACGATTATACATGTATATACACAAGTAACAGTAATTTGTATATGCCGTAAACTTCCCATAGTTTTGTGCACTGTCCATTTACTCCCAAAAGCATTCTCACAAATTAACACTTGATTCTTAATTTATGTATGTACCGTTTATTTATGTACCTACAAATTGGAACGCTCTGTCGGCAGATATAGAGAAAAACATTCGCGAGTCAATCAATTTATTTTTTTTAAAGGATAATAGAGAAAAATATGTTTTTGTCATCTAAATATGCTTTGTCCGCCACATACTTTACAGCGTTCAATTGTAGATTTTCTGATCCACAACGATAGACTCTTTCTCACAAGACCTGTGTTTAATCCACCTTCTTTTTATGTTTCCTTTGCAAGCAGTCGGGGAAGCAGAATGATGTAGCCAAATAATAATTGTTACCGATAGTAAGGACTATATTTTATTCATTTTTATACGTTGTTCTTTATCATACGTGCATAGTTTGTAGCACGGTCGGATGGCATGATGGCATGGTTCACTGCATGAACATTGTGTCTTTGTATGGACAATACAACACTACAACTTTGAGTACACTGTTTTTGCTTTACCTTTACATTTTTCTAAAGCAGTAGTCTCAAACGTCTACATAAATATTCATGAAACTTGCAAGCTCTTTCCTTGAGGAGATGCTCGTCTCCTTGGTTTGAGTTTGAACCTGCTGCTTAGGATATTACTTTCGCGTGTGCACATCAAATTTTGGCAGTAGTCTACAACGGAGGGTAATTTCAATGTAACACATGGTACGGGGGATTAAAATATATTTACATTATGATTTTCAGCATGAGTTTTGTATTTGAATCACATATCACAGTGAATATTGCATTATTATACATATATAGGAATATTATAGAAATTTGCACCACCGACTTCTCAGGCATACGTTTTATTAAGCAAAAGCTATTTGCTGTCGGAGTTTGTGGAAACGGCTGATTGAAAAACTGATTCCGGTGCGAATCCTGGGTTGTCTAGAATCAAGTCGGTGTTGCATCTTGATAAACCTTTGATGCTTAATCATAGCTATTAGTACGAGTATTCGGTTAGTGAGACAAGATTGTTGTGTTGTATATTGGCACACAGTTCTCTCGATGGAGCTCGACCAGCTCGTTATCGCGAGAAGTGCAGAGCTACACTATGAGGGATCCGCGTTACCATGCACAGAACAAGGTAATCAAGTGGCACTAGAACATTTCTCATCCCGAAGGTGATATCATTTATAATAAACATTACGCAGAGATAACACGGTAGAAATTCTAACATCATATTATAACAGAATATATTTTTTCGGCTCTTCTTGAATAACAAACGTTGAATAACAAACATCGTTTGATAATTACAATAAAAACGAAGGAGAGCTAGCTAAAATGTATTCTTCCCAAAATAAGATACTAGTTCATAATAGCACAATCACATAGCTTTCACTTTTAAGATCAAGCTTCAAGTTTTCATATGTCGAGCGCACATTGTCCTCGCGAAATTAAAACGGCAAAACTACGGGAAAGCTTGGTGAAGGACGTTATTTATGGCCTCGCAATCTACCACGTTAATTGCAAAGCTTATCGTTTTATGCTTCATACTACATATCGTTAAGTCCTCGGCTACGAAGAAGTAAAATCGTTTAATCTGTAATCCCTTTTTTCATAATTTTTAAAATGGTCAGTAATATGTGTCTTAACTTGAAATTATTTCTTTTTAGGCCAAGAATAGCGTAACAAATTTTGTTTAATACAAATATGGTTATTTCATAACTTATTACTCGAATAAACAATCTCGTTTTTATTTAGGGACCAATGATGTACAACGTGAACGATATGAGGGATCGTTCGGGGAGGAACGTGCAGCAGAGTCGGTACCCTCCACGATAGAATCACGCAAGATTTTCAACAGCACAGAAAATTCACTGATCAACGGGCCGGGAAAATTTCACATTGCTTAAATGAATTGTTACAAATTAAACACGTGGGCAAACGTACCTCAAACTAAGTAAGCGAATAATTAATAGACGATCCATGAGTTTTAGACGAGTGTGAGCAGATTTCCAGTTCCAATTTTACAAGGAAGTGGATACAACAAGATTATGCGTGTAATGCTTCTTAATTAGACTTAGGCTGTTTGTATTCCTTTATTTCTACTTTAGAGAACGCGCGTTACTTGATCGAATTACAGAGGGTACTTGTTTCTTAACAAAGCAGTTCTTTTCTTTTCACGGAATGTTTTCTAACGAAGAATAATTACGGATGTATTTTTTCATTGTCACAGTAGCGCATTCTGTTCGTTCGCTCGTGATTTCTCTCAACGATGAGATGAACATTGTCATTGCCACAGCGAACGAATCGAACAGTTTTATTTTACAATCGGTCCTGTCGTGTATTGAGAATTTCAATGAACCGAGGTGGTATGTGTATCACGTGAAATGTGATCACAAGTGAAAGGAAAACATTGAAACAAATTGAAATCGCACGCGAATTACCATTTCCGAAACGTGTTCCACTCGTAGTGTAACGTTAATCGTAACGAGAATAATGTTGATCCTATTGACTGCTATATAGGCGAATTTCTTACAAGCGGTTTGACTCTGTACGCTCTAGAAGGATATAATTATTGCATTGAACGAAGCAGACAGGTGTAAAGAGGAATGTTAGAGATATGCAAATTTTATGAATCCTATTGTTAGGGCGGTGTAACACACGTATTGTTATACAAACATATATCGTTACACCAACGCGTTATATTGATAAAAAGCGTGACTGCCGTCTATCTACTTAAGTACGGGATAATCGGTAAGCAGTCGTTCTACGTATAGTAATCCCTAAAAAACTAATCGTATCTGTATTTATTATTTGGGTGCCTGGCGCTTACTTTTTGCTTCATGATCAATACTTTCAAATTTGCCACAAGGTGATACCCGCTACTCAAACCGTTTTATTATTGATCTTTGATAGGTCACGAATTGGACACTAATCAGGTTTCGCATACACTTTTTACTTGTAGGTACGCATTAAACATGTGCATCACAACGTCCGTACGAACTATACGCTTTTCTTGTCTAAGAAATGCACATAATTCGCCCGCGTCTTTGGAACATAAAAGAACTTGGTGCTTTCAGAACGTGTTTTGAACGTGTATTTACAAATATTCGTATGCCATAAACCGGGGAAAGAAACATTTTGCAATCGTGCAAAATGTTCGAGCAAGAACATGTTTCTGTTGATCATAGCGCATAGATATTCCGTGTTATATTTTCCGCAGACGTCGCTGAGAATTCGTTCTTTAGTAATCAAATGAGGGCGAACGAGGGATGACATTAGAATGTAAGTTTCGTAGGTGAACTTTTTATTTGGCCTCCGCCGTTCTTTGTGATAGGAGGGAGAGCGAAAGAACACGTTCCGAACGCGAGGAAGCGTACGTCGGTGAAAAAAGACTTTTTATTCGGTTAATTTCCATAAAAGACGATGAACGTTGTTAAGGAGAAGAGGGAGGAGATAAATAGTTAAAGTCGGTGTTAATCACGATTCGAGCAAAACTGGTTTTGTCTATTCTTGTAAAATAGAGTTACGTATTCGATTTTATACTCGTGACACGATAATGTGCTTTCAAGACATATATATTACATTACGCGTAAATTGTAGCATATTAATAATATAAAGCGGCGTCCTTGTGTATGTTACATGTATATATATATATACATATATAGATATACTATAATGAAATTTATGATTTGTACATACTATATAAACGTAAGTCTCTTCGGGAAATATGTATTAACAAATTCGCGTATCGATGACAACTACTTGCCGAATTATCTCTTCCACGCGTGCCGTTAAGAAAGAGGAAGAATTTGTTGTTACGGGGTTTCTTGCGAAAGACTATAATAGAAATCAGAATGGTTCGATACGAAAGACGGTCTTGCGTTGTGATTTCGATCTCGAATCTTTAATTAAATACCTCACCGTTCTTGATCAGATACGTTTAACGGTCAATCAGTAAATTATCGATTAGATTTTAGCGGGCGATTAATAAACGTCGAGAGACTTCATGCTTCGAGAATTTCTTCAAATCAAATTAATCTGCTCCCGAAACGATATAATCACAATATTAACAATAAAAGTCGGAGAACGATTCTAAGGTAAAAGAAATCCGTTAAAGTTGAACAGAAGTATTAATTATTGAAAGTGTATGTTATGTATGTATAGAATGGTTTAAGAATGATGCGATTTTGGCTTAATGTAACATATTACGAATTACGTCTTTAAATGCACTTTACAATTCAAATGTTCGATGTACGTTTATGGGAAATATGGATAATGAGAAATGTATACTGTATATTAAATATATTAATACTGTCCCTATTATCATTACTATTAAAATAAATGATGATACAACCAGAGATACGATTTACGAGTATTGAGATATTTTTATACCTAATAAATTTATTCGAAATCCACATTCAATATTTTGAAGATAAAACTGTAGGTGTTCTATGATTTTTGTAATCTGCCAGGATAGCTACGTGCATAAAATGAAAGAAACAGCTCTCTCCGACTTCTGATCTAATCCAAACGTATTTCAACTAAGAAAACGTGAATATCCTAATAAATATTAACATTCGCAGATGACATAGAGCCTGTCTGTTGAATCAGAAAGTGCACTTTATTCATTCGCGGCATGCATACTACATATGTACGAGCATAGTACGCAAAGAAATCTATTATGGGAATTACGGTCACATCAAATTTATTGCGTAACGTGGTACAGACATATTTCATTTCTTTTAATCAAACAGTTCTCAAAAAAACGAAATAGGTGTCAACAGATTGTGACGCAGAAATATTGATTAGACGGAATATTAAAAAGAGGAGGAATAGTCATCGTAATGCCGGAGCTCAGACGTGATGTAGCAGATGCTATCAGTGGCAGAAATGCGACCGTCCTACCTACGGTACGGTCAATTCACTGAACTGCCATACGCCGACGTAGCAATGCGCTCATAAATCTTTCAACATCGTACCCAAATGTTAGTGTTAGGGTTTCATATCAGTTCGGTCTTGCGTATCGGTTTCACATTATTCAGAAGCAACGACAGTTACTCGTGTAAGATACCCAGCAACTCCGTTAAAGAAAAACAATCTAGATATTCCAAAACAGAGAAAGAAGAAACGTGTCCAAGTAACACGAATAAAACGAGATTACCTATTCAACTTGAATCTGTTCATATTTTTTGATAGATCATTAAAAGTTCCTTTATTTATCTGCAAGGTGTTTTACATTTCACTTCTTAAAAAGTAAGCAGTTCGAAATCGTCGCTTGTAACGGATATGAAATAAAATTTTCTAAATTCCTTCTCAACGAAACGTTAATCTCTCGGCGTTACGTTAATGATACAAGAATCGACGATACCGTCGTCGTGTTGAACGGTCGATGAGCAATTTACGTCGGGCGATCCAAAGACGAAGGTGGTCTCGTACTTCTTCGACCAGTCGTGATCCACCTTCGACTTCTTTTGCCTCGGCTCGCTGCCCTGGTAATCATCCTCGCACGCGTCTAGCTCCTTCGACTCTCTACGTCGCCTCTTCGTCGAAAAGTTCGGAACCTCGTCGTCAACAGAAGACAAGCTGCCCTCGTTGTTCTGATTCACTTTGGGAGACGTGATCTTCGACGTAGGATTTTCAATCGTTACTTCGAACTCATTTTGGTTGACGTTGCTCGTCGGGACGGTGGAGACGGAAGGCTGGTCAACTGAGAAGCTCGCACCCTCGTTCTCACCTTCTGATCGCATTGGATTCGGATCCGTATCACCCACGCTCAGATGTTTAGACTGTTCGGGACTATTTACGTTCCCGGTGGTATCCACGTACATGCTTTCAATTAGATTCCTGACGTATTTAGCTTTCTCGGACATCAACAGATGCAAAGCTTTGTCCATGACAGCCTGTAGAGATTCTCGCGCCTCATTTGCTTCCCGACGTTTCTGAGAAGCGTCCTCCTTGAATAGACCCCCTTTGAGCGACGTTGAAGGGCTAATCTTGCGGGTCTGTATAAAACGATGCAGAAATAAGCTCAAAGTACATATAAGTTGAATTAATAAGAACTGATTAAAAAGTGTTAATTCTATCGTTTAGATAATTCATATAAAATATCCTCGAAGAATAATTATTTATTTAATGACGGTTCCGACGGATCAATCTTGTATATGGCATACGAACAAGTTATTGATTAATTCAACTCACTGACTCAGTCGCTTTAAAATTGCCTCTTCGTCTCTTTGTTGAACACTGCGTTGCACAGCTTTTCTTTTTAGGATAATCCTGCTCGCCGCTCCCCTCCTCAATTGGGCATTCCGCTAATCGACGTTTCCTCGAATTACGCTTCTCGTAATTGCTCGTTACGGATTTGCCGGTCGATTGATACTGAGACTGGACCTGTGAGGGTATCGTCCAACAATCCCAATCCGATTGTATCGACAATTGCGAACTCCCCTCGACCTCCCCCCCGTCCTCGGTCACGGAATCCGTGTCCTCGTGAATCTGTACGACATTCCGCAGCCTGTACTCATTGCACAGTCGATCGTTCTCGTTCGACTCATCCGAGAGACGATCATCGAACGTGACGAATTTTTTAAACGAGACGCCCGTCTTCAAATTGTTCCAGCAATCGCAATCGATCTGGAGGAAGGAGTCGTCGATCCTGAAATGGGTCCTTTGAAAGCTGAAGATTAACAGCTCGCGCGGTATCGTCTCCCACGCCTCGATCACAGACGTCAGGATCTCCCGGAGACCCCATTCCTCCGTACTCTTTAATAATTCCGCGTACCTTCAATAAAACGTTTAATCTCTCTTAGCTGATCCTCTGTACCTTTTCAACAACTCTCTGTTGCTTCAGCTATTTTTAAAATATACCTCGGAAGGTAGTAGACTTAAGTAAAAAAAGATACATTATAAAATACATTGTAAACGGGACACTGTTTGATCATTTAAATATCGCAGAGTGCAATGAGTTTATGATATAGTCATACTACTTGCAATTATATTTTATACACATTTAATATTTATACGAAAGTCTACCAGTAATGAAAATGTTCTCGATCGAAGAGCCTCACGTATCCAAGATTTCTCAGGAGAGGCAGAAAGCAAGAGAGAAGCTCACCTTCGCCTAAGCACCATCTTGACGTAGTGAAATACGTCCCTCCGCAGGGGTCGTAAATGCGGTGGGAAATTGTCGGGCAAGTAAATCAGCCTCACGTTGCTGGCCACGAAATCCTGCAGTGCCTGCGCTCGGCTTCTCTTAAGGAACAACAATATCTTCCGTTTACATCTGACCATGCGATCGTCGACGCTCGTCAACCAATTCCTGAACAGTCCGTCGCTGATACGAGAATCCTCGCTGTGGCAGTAAACGTGTTCCTTGGCTGTTATCCTGGACGGATACGGGCCGCTCATAAGGAGCGGCAACTTCGTCGTTCCCGAAGCATCGCATCCCATCAAAACCGTTATACGATTTCTTTGTGGTTCCTCGGAATCGTCCTCCTCCTTCGATTTCAGGTTCGAGGGAGGCATGTCGGAGTACATTATTAGCTCGTCCACGTGGAACAGATCCTTGTGCCTGTAAATATTAGACTCTGATTAAACATAGAAGTTAATTTTGGGTTGGTCAGAAAGTTCGCTAACGCCTGAAGTGAAATAGCATCAAATAAAAAACCGCATCAACTTCCTAGCCAACATGTATCGTATTTAAGTTCTTCTTGTCATTAGTTGCTTTCTTTTCAGTTATTCGTTGTATTTAAATTCACCAGTCAGTGAATATTTTATCATCTGTATTTATTAATTATTATTAACCACCTCATCTGCTTCTGATAAATATCTTGCAATTAGTTAATGCGTTGGTTCAGAGTCGAATGAATTACCTGTATTTCGTGATAGTTGGCCGCATTAGTTTGATCCAGTCGCGGTAGTCAGCGAATTTCGGGTTTCCTTGGTTTATATGATCGGAACGGAAACCGTGTTGCTTCAGAAAATGCGTCAGCCACATCTCCGAGCATTTAAAACCTATAAGAAGATATTTTCAATAATCTTTATGCAAATCGACGTTTTAACGATGAGATTTGTTTCGCAACGAGTTCGACTCCTTCTTTATTTTTTGTACCAGGTTTCGTGTGAGATAATGAATTATAAATAGATTGCGGCTTTTTAGGTGAACGTTTGAGAATGCAATTTAAATAGAAATCTTCTTTATTCTTTAAAAACAATGACATAAAATTAACTGTGTTTTATATTTTCTCCAAATATCATTTATTTAATTCTATTGATATTCGCAATCTAATTATAAAGCGGTTTAAGGAACACAGACAAGTACCATTGAAACCGCGTATCCTCGTCAACTCGAGAGCTTTCTCCCGCAACGCGTGCCTGTCCAGAAAATCGTACGTCGCGTGCTTCTTGCACAACCACTTGAACAGTTCCTCCCGGACGGTCTTCATATTAGCCTTTGATCTGTTTCTCTTGATCTCCTTCGAAGACATCGACGACTATCGACGATTAACACACGCGCGAGGGATATTATTATTTGCTTGAAGGGATATGGCTTATGACTGACGGATTCACGGACGATTTTCGATTGTCGACCGGATTTCGATCTCGTTCATGATCCGACATTTTCAGACTTGTCATTCATTTTTAATAAAAAGTGCACATAACAAGTCAACAAAAATAATCATACGAATTGATTATTCGAAAGACACTCTTCAATGGATTATAAATTCGTAGAGGATTTTCATACAAAATTTGTTTCAACGAAGTCTTATTTACGTTTAAATTCGGACTGCTGATGTTACAGCTCTTAACTATCCAGCGACTACGAGTGTATGCAAAAAAATTCATGACCGTCTGTTTCTCGGGTCGCGGAGTAAAAGCAGTTTATTTGCATGGATGTACCGTACCAGAGAGGGAAGACTGTGCGTTGACCGCTCGATGAATATCATTCATCCCGCGGCCCGAGTTAAATTGCATTTTTTCCCAGGGCGTCGTCCTGACGAGACACTTTCCACCGTAAATTTTCATCCAACGCGCCGCTTTATTATCACCCACGCGGTCCTCGCTCTCTTTCGCCCTTTTCCGCGATCGATCACCTCCGTTAAAAGGCCAAATCCGATTTCCGTCGTTATAATCTGAGCACGGTCCCTCGCATTACCGAATAGAATAAATTAGGTAGAGTTAATCGGATTACACACTCCGTCGCTGTCGATTTTATAGACAAGTAGTAGGTCGTTTCAAGGCGCGTTCTCTTTCACATTTATTAGCGCGCAATAACTGAGTCTCATTGTCGGATCATTACAACTGCGACGTTTTCATAATTTGCGGTTTCGGTGGATACGTATAAATGCGAGTTCATAAACGGAATGCAAATCAATGCTATATCCATTGATTTTGTTTGAACAACGGCCTTTGAAGATTAGATCCAGCGAAATCTGTCATCGAATTACTATTTGATAAGGGGACGGATACGTGGAAACGTAATAACGTAGTCCTGCGCGAGAGGTTTACAAGCCAATGGGAAATCTGATTAATGGACGTTCCCGTTCCCACAGCGGTATTAGAAGCATTCCGATGAACGGGTCAAGCTTGCGATATCGAGCAATCAGCGTCCCATATCGATACGATCGTCGCCATATAAACTAGAAGTAACAAGCCTCGTTAAAAATGCAAAGATCCATGTTGTCTAGATGGAGGAAAGATAAATAGAGGTAAAGCTTCGCTCGATGGGAGACCAGCGATGCTCGTTAAAAAGGACGATTTTCGTTCGTCGGGTAAAGCCGTTGACAAATATTTCCCAAGGACGATTATTTTAATCGACTGAACAATTATTGAAACGCGTTCAATTGTTTGCTGTGTACGGATGTGCGTCGTTCCAGGCGCGGTTTGGAATTAACGCGATTAAGAGCATTCGCTGTTTGGAGTTTCCTTTCAACGGATAAAAATTGTAAAACAATCGGGATTTAGAAAAGCGCGAAACAGTTTGTTGTTCCACCTTGGCTGTTCAATTATTCACGATCTAATAACAGCTGGAGTGGCAGGGCCTAACGACCGTCTGCAAACGTGCAGGGCTGTTTGCCCCGGCGGTTTTCATTCCGCTTTATCACGGCCGACCGATGGAAAATACTCGCTGTTATTTATGCTCGGCCGGTCGGAGACACCGTTTCGTGTTTCATTCGGTACAATTACTGTTCCTTCAGAAATAACAGTAACTACGTCGAACGATCATCACGTAATAGTGGATAATATTTGAAGGTAATCTATTAATTTTACTTTTAATTCTATAAATCATAAAGTACGATTCGAAATCAATATCATTTATAGGAATTCTTATGACATTTTAAAATTTAAATGGAGCTTGAAATAATGGTGAGCGATTGGACGCAGGATTAAAATCATTTGATACAGCAAGGGTCAATTCATTTCACCGGAAAACGGTGAAATGAACTCTCTTCATTTGTACACGATTAAATCGTAAAATGTTTCTAAAAGTAGAATCTCAATTATTGGAATATCGATGAAACAATTAATAACACAGAACGGTCTATCCCACGCAAAATTGGACTTTCCATTTTCCGTCAGACTCTCGAGCGCTCTTTTTTCTATTCATGAATTTCGCCACGTGGATATTTGCTCTCCTGTTCAGCTGTCGGCCGCTTCGCCGAAAGTATTTTCAACTTATGCTTTGCCGTTGTTCTTGCGAAATGGGAAAACCAGATTTCCGTTCGACTAGATTCGACGTGTTAAAAATCTAACAGGCTCTTTTTCTCAATTATTTTCCGTAGCAAACCCGGACAGTTTCTAAACATCTCCCGCGTCTCGCATTCTGATCATACGTTGCTACATTTCACGTTTTATATATACATATGTAAATATATATGACACATTTGTGTTTGACATTATAAATTCTGTTTTGCTTTTTGCGTTAGATACGTAATATGAATGTATAGCATGGGAAATAAAGGGGAACGTATCTCGCGTACATCCGGTGCGGTTAACAGACAAATGATCGACGGTGGAGCGGTAAATCAAAAACGGGGAAACGAATTTGCATCCGCGATACGAGTTTCACGTACCGGCTTCGACGCGTTCCGAAACGCAGACCGAAAAATATCCTTTTTTCGCAACCGGATACTTGAAATCGCACAGGACACGGTGACTAATAGCTGGCTAGGGCGAACTCGATCCGTTTTTCACCTGCTGGAATTTATCGACCTTTCAGACATCTCGTTCACAGATATTTCGTTCGTTCCTCTGTCGTAAACCGCCAGCGACAAACGAAAGGATTTTCGTGTACCCAAACAGTTATTAATACATTTTTAAGCAAAACATTGAAAACAGTTTTATATTTATATTTTCTGCATACCAACTATTTTTATGAATGCATAAGAACAAATCACAAATCGTTCATTATACAATAATTAGACTGCGAATTTTTATGTAAGACGAAACACATATTCTGAATTATCTTATTATGTATTACATGTGGCATTTATTGTTTATGTATGTAAATTTTTCTTCTAATTGCATAAAATCCGCAGTCTGTTAATAATAATAATAATAATAATTCTACCTAGTTTCATATAAGTTCATTGAAAATTTGTTCGTCGAAAGGATGAGCGTGTTTAAAAAAGAGCTGGCGAGCTACCCAAGAACGGGATTTCCCCTGAAAGTGCAGGTGAAGCCGTTCGACGTGGAAACCACGTACACGGAATTAACTCAGAAGAAAGCGGAAAACAGGACGAAGTACCATGGGCCGGATTCGCCGTTGTACGCCGCGATTTATCCCTTAGTTTTTATAACAAGACTGCTCGGTCTGGCGCCGTACGATTTCACCGCCGACAGGATGACACCGTCGGACGTGCTGCTCGCATTTTCCTTCGCGTGCATTATCATTTATTGTTACATCATGTACTTGGTGTACATGAGGTTCTCTAGCATCGCCAAGGTCAGATCTCTTCTTCGAGTTGTTGAAATAGCAAAGGTAATCTTCGTATTAATTATTTAATTACACGATTGTAATTAAATTAATTATCTAGTTATATTTAAATTTCAATTTTTATTGAATGATGTATAAGTGTAGTGGCACTTTGAGAAGTAATTGATGTTCATCGTAGGTAGCTGTCAATTTTTCCGTGGCAATCTTCGACTTGATCACGACGATATTCACGAGGCGAGCTTTCTGCCGAGTTTGGAACGGAATCCAGGATTTCGACGATAGGCTCAGTCAATTGGGCTACCCACGCAAGGAGACGAGGACCGTGATCGCGGTTTGGTCGCTCATCACCGGGCAAACCGTCATCTGGACACTGATCAATCAAAGCGGGATGTATGCGTTCTCGGAAACTTGGCAGTACAACGTCTGTTACATGATCGTCTACGTCGGCACCGGGGCGTCCGTGTACAAGTTCGTAGGAATGATCATCTTCTTGGGGCAACGGTTCCGTCAGCTGAATCGCATCGCCCGCGAAAATTTACCGCCCAGAATAGGATACAGCAGCAGCAACGTCAGCAGAAAGGTAGAAAACTCCGTAGTTGCATGCCGAATAGCTTCAACCATTTATCAATTCTAATCGCCGAGATGTTTGCAAGTTTTCTGTATTATTTATTTTCGAATTGATGATCGTTTTATATGAAAAATTGAGAAATGTAATCTTTAATTTATGAGGAATAATTATCATGGCTATAATTAATATTGTCATAAATTATTTTATATGAAAAATGGATTATATATCAGACGAGTAAAAATTTCTTGATTTATGAGGCTGAAAGCCGTATAACGAATTCAACATATCTCGAAAACGTGACAAGCTTTTTCTCATTTCGGCTTACGGCCGCGGCTTAATTGAAACAATGCACCTGTTGGCTCGTACGAATTACGAGGGACCGTAAAAAGTTGTTTGATGTTTAAGACCGTGCAGGACCTGCACAATAAGCTGATGCTCTGCAGCGAGGCGTTCGGCTCTCTTTCTTCCTGGTCGCTATTGTTCTGGTTGGGAAGCTTGTGCATGCATAGCGTGATTAACATTTACTTCTTCATCGATTGGATGATCTTAACGGCCTGGTCGGACTTCACCTATCGTCTTGTATTCAACATGTGGTGTTGGCTCATCGGATTTAGTACCCAGCTTCTGGCCATTCACTTCGCCTGCGATTATACTATAACCGAGGTCAATTCTCTCATTCACATGCAAATGATAATTACGAGACCGCGGATACTTATGTATTTATGGGAATTCTAAATAATTTAAAGTAACACTAAAATAATCAAAAGACAGTTTAAAGAGAAAATGAACGTTTGTTCGTTCTTTATTTTTATTCATAAAATTAGGAATGTGAATGAACATCTGCAGTTTAATAATTACACAATTTAATACTTACAATTTAATAATTACAAAATTAATTTATAATAGGGGATTGTAAATTGCAGGCTAATTCTATGGGTGCGATACTGATCGAGTGGGACGCGAGGACGATTAGAAAATTTCCTCAAGACGTGAGTACTGGTTCATTAGGAAATCTGTATTATTGTTCAGTTTCTTGTTTCCTGCAGGATACCATTCGTACCTCGCTGCACTTTCTGAACAGGCGTCTTCATTTCTCCGCCGGCGGCCTTTGCGACGTCGACCTGTCTTTGCTTACCTCGGTAAACGTACACTGTCTTAAAGCTTCTAATTGCGAGACAGTTTATTCCTCTGGTCCTCGGTTATTTCAGAATATTCCAAGAACGTTAATTGGATCCGGCTTAATCACGACTCTGCTGGGTTGTGTAATCATCCGGTTCATTCTTCCGTCTTTTATTCTAAATTATTGGTTTATTTTACGTTTAAAAGAGAAATCTGTAATCTTTGAACACGTGTCAGTAATCTGACTTTGGATTCGGCCAGAATAATCTTTAATTTAATTTGATGATCAATAATTTAATGGTTCATTATCTGAAAAGACGTAGTCCTTATAGTTATAAAAGAGGAATAATATATTTCTGAATGATAAACGACTGACAACGTGGAAATTGCTGAAAACGACGTGAATTGTTTCCAGATCGTCAGCCAAGTGTCGAAGTATCTGATGCTCCTCTTACAATTTCCGGCTTGAGGCACGACAGGAGAGTCAAGTTTTCTTCCAACCAACTTTTCAAATATTTTTCTCGCGGTCCTCCTCCCATCGGTAAATACCGCGTGCAGATTTCCCGCGTTGCATCTTCCGCGATTTTCTATTTGCATGGAAATTGCGTAGGAAATCGACAGAAGGTGTCTCTCGAATTTCGACGGGCTTTCACGGAATTAAAAAGGGCACCCAACGAAAGCTCTTCAGTAACAGCGGACTAATCTCTCTTCCCTTTGATCACAATTCCGATCCAACGGTTCTATCCAATAAAGTTTATTTACATGATTACTCGAGCGCAGATTTCAATCTATAGAAAACGTAGACTGTATAATGTAACTACTCAATAATTAAAATGATTAATAAGAAAAAAAAGAAATTTCTAATTGAAGACGTTTTGTTTTGTCCAATTGTGAGGCAACTGTTTTGTTTTAGAGGATGACCACTTAAACATGTGTACTCAAGATATGTTTGTTCCCAGAGGCAGGCAACTTGTACGTCGGTTTCAGTAAGTTTTAATAAAACCAGACACGGGAGTAACTTTAATGGGTTAATAAAGTCACGAGTGTGAGCGCGATGTGGAATTGGCATGCAAGGAGGTTGCGTTCTAGCAGTCGCGGGGAAGAAAAGAAAGGGTAGGGACGAGGGAGAAGAAGCAATTTTCCAGGGTGATGGCCTAGAAAATTGCCGCGACGTGCTCGCGTTCACCGCGTGTCCGGTGTCAATGATTTTTTTATTTCTTCTTCGCCCCGTGCGAGAAAAAGGTCGCACCTCAAATTTCGACCGCCGACACGAAAATTCTATTTACACTGCTACTTCGTCGTGACACTTGTTCCTCCGGAGAGATTTTCAAAGACTTACCCAACCGTCTGGGTTCCCAACTGGACTTCTTTAATTTCGTATTAGAACTATATTTGTCAAAAAACAGTTCACATGTTATTCGATTCGCGTTTAACTTAACAATAATAATCATGACGCAATTATATTGTCGTAAAAAGATCTTTGACCGCGTTCATCAAAGATTGTGAAAATTCTCACTGCAGAATAATAGTTGGGACACGGTTGAGAAATACTGTTCTGTCTGGACATGTAACTCGTCCAATTTGTTCATAATCCAAGCCGTGATTCGATGTTGGAGACACGTAAAGTCAGGGACACGCGATAATGTACGGTGATTTCTCTGGAGTCGTAAAATTCCCGGGTGCAGGGTGGCTGAACGTTAAAGAATAAGATCCTCCCCCGACGCTCGCACGTCTTCTAAGAATTCTTCCTCCTCGACTATTGTTCGCGAGAATGGACGCACTGATGGTGCAACAATAGCGGCGAAAATGCAGGACGAGTATCGTTATGCATATTTCATTGCGATTCATCTTCCTCGCTGGTGAATACGTGTAGGCGCTCCGTTATAAATTTATTAGACGTGCGCTCCTCTCTCGACGTACGCTGATCTCCTTTTGAATCGTGCTCCAATATTTTCGATATCAAATACATTTTTACCTTAACTGCTTCTGCGATTGATCGAATTCAATGTTTATATTAAAGAAATAGTGGATGTTATGTGTTTGGCAATTTGGAAATGCTGGTAAATTGAAATATTATACTGTGACAGAAATTCATTAATAGTATCGAAGTATAATTTTACCTTTCACTCATACCGACACAATTGGACGTATCAATTGAATTTAATATCGGAATTATGGGTTTGTTAAAAATATTGTATTTACACCTCCTCGCGAACCCTGCATTTTATACCTACCTCCTTGTCCCGTTGCAAATAGAGATTGAAATTTAAACAAGGCGAACCCGAGGCGAGGGACGAAATGCAACGTGTAACAAGGAAGTTTAATCCGTAAGTTTTGAAAAGGTCTGGCTAGGTACGCGGTGTGCCGGGTTCAATCCGGGATTTCAGATTGTATATTCGCTTTACCGTTTGAAACGAGGGGAAAAACAAAGGGTAAGCTTCTAAAGGACCCGGACAATTTCGTGGGACGGGCGTTTCCATAAATCTTAATCTTTCAGGGATTTGCGACTCAGTCCCCTGCCCCTCGTTTCGTATTTTTATCGTGTCCGTCGAACTTACTCCTGCCAGCGGACAGGTTAACGTCCCTCCTTGCTCATAAATTAATTCGGACAGCTTCATACAAAAAGATTTGTCAAACCCACGACTAAACGGTTCTTCATGTAAAATTAAACACACGAATATAAATAATATGCACTTTAAATTTAATCTTTTCTATATAAAATTCATTTTTATATTTTGCTCTGAATGCATAAAGCTCTCAGTCGGTCATAAAAACGTGGGAGAGAATGTTTTGCAAACAGTATAATTATCTATTTCGCTTGCGGCGAGTGAAAAATTGTATGAAACAAAAGTGGATCGTTAACGAGCTCCCGGCAGTTAATCAGCGAGTGGTAATTAGCCGTCGATCGGTAGAAATTGCGTTCCGCGTTTGACTGGCAATAAAATTGAACGGGCTTGTTTGTGTCTCGATTGATACTAATTAACCGAGGAACGACGTTTTAGGGTCCGTTTACGTCGATTGTGTCCTATCCCAAACGAAGATGGACGAGCTAGACGATGCACATTTATCAAACGTTCCATCTCCAGGCAGTAAACGTTAGATTACAAACAGAGCGTAATCAAATGAATATGTAGACGTCTTTATAAAAATTTTCATAACAACTTGTCGATGTTTATGAAAATAAATATATAAAATCATTAAATAAAATCCTTTTCACGAATGTGTATATCAAGGTCATGATAGAATCCAAATGAAAAATGAAATGAAGAGAAATTTTATCACGTACTATGTATTACATGTGATAACAATTTTCTACCAGATCGAGTAAATTCATCTTTCGCGTTCGCTTTCTGAGACGCATTGAATCAGAGTGCACAAGACTGCTCTAGAGGTACTTTTAACACGTTGACTGCCACGGAATTTTTCACGATTCCGGTCTAAACAACCAATTTGATTCAATCATATTATTAAAAAATTTAATAATAGTACATAAAAACCTAAAAAACTGTTTTTTTAGAAAAATATGTTACGAATTATCTTGTAGTTGGTTTATGTAACAGAAACCTCTTCGCGGAAGCCAACTATGAGATAATTCGTGCACAGACACAAATATGGCAAGTAATGAAGGGACGAGATAATTCGTAATAGGCGTCCTGGGCAAGTAAACAACCTACGAGATATCTCGTAGTTGGCAATCAACGTGTTAATTAAATAAGAAATTTATGATATTTGAAGTTTGATAGAAAAATGCCTAAAAAGCCTCTAAAAAGATTGTATCATCAGTACTCATTCACTATCCAGCGTTTTATAGACGTCGGTGGAAAGGTGTAATCGAATCTCGGTAACTCGGTCAACGTTTGATCCTTGTAATCCCTATCGGCGGTTGAGTGGTTAAAGAAGGATTATAATGACGTTGTGAAAGTATAAAATGTCGTAGAGCTTCCAGGAGCGTAAAACGTTGTCCGGGATGAGAGAATGACGTAGAAACTCGCGTACTCCGGGTGCGGTATGACGTGGGCAACGAGCGTGGGTCGACCATTAGCGCAGCGAGCGCAACGGTATGCACATAGATTGTACTCACCGATGGGCGTTTGTGTCAAGGCCGACGTCGAAGGATTTTCGGGGTCATCTCTACTTTACGACGCCTGGCCTCGTGGGGAAACCATCGAAAAAACTACGGGATCTATTTAGAACTTTTCAACGACCGCGAACACGTACCAACTGTCTACGTCAGAACAGAACGGTACCGATGAATTTTTCAAGCTCGCCCACGTTTCCAACTTCTTTTCTTCTAAATGGCATCGATTTATGCTATCATTTATTTATAAACAAGCTGGATCTTTACGTATGCAAATCATCCTAATTTTAAGATTATCACGAATTATTAATCGTGTAATCAAAGTGTGGATTTTGTGCCTTCATAAAAAGATTTAAGGATGTATTGGCTATACAGNAATTTTTCGTCAACGTCAATACTTAATTGGATATTTCCTTCTATACTTTTTAGCACGTAGCTATTTACTATTAGAATTATTCATCCGACGTCTGATTTCTTTTTAATTATAGGAAATGCAAAAGAATTTCGAATCAAAAAAGCAGCTGCATGCGATGCGTAAAAATGGATAAAACATTAAGAGTGAACACGCAATTGCAATGGTTGGAGAGAACATGAGTGTGAAATGACTTTTTTTAACTGACCACCATAAATGTTTCGTTTTGCATAGAAATGAACTTCCATAAAATTTTATTGGAAATGATAGAATATGAACAGTCGTAAACTAAAAAAGATACTAAGTATATTGAAATCGATAGATGTAATATAAAATTAGGCATATATAACTTTCATCGTTTAATAGGAGCTGTGCAACGATGGAACAGAATGGATACAATTGTACGTGAGGGTATTAGAGATTGAACTTGCAACTGTAGAACTGATATACTTAAAGTACTTAAGTAAATAGGTGTACTATCGGCAATTCAGCGGCACAGCTTGCTTGCTCTCTACCGCAAATGTTCCAAGCTGGTTTCCGTCGGACCAGAGTTTTCGATTAAGCAGCATTTTCGTACGGCTGTTACCGTACCTTCACGGCTACCTCGAACGACTGCAGTGGCCGTCAAAAAATTTATGGCCTCTCCTTTTTTCAGATGATGGGACGTCGCCAAAGCCGAGATTATAGGACGCGTCCCGGAAAATGTCACGATTTTACAATCTACTAGAAATCTATTCAGCTATTTACGCATTGTACAAGGGATTTACGGTGTTAAGAGAACTTTTATTTTCCACTTGTAAATATCACTAATACATTGGTAAATAAATTTTGTACAATTCGTTAAGGTAATTATGCCGACGCACTTAATTAGCAATTGCTTAATATACACCGATTGCAAAAAAGTATTCGCACATGCGTTTATTTTTAAGTAAACACCATTTTCATATCATAATTGATGTATAATTTACTATGTTTCTAATCTGACTTATTAATCGTAGTACACTGATGCACAAACATTTTTCGCAGCCATCGTAGATAGTTACGTGGCACAAGTTAATACTGTCAGGTTACGAGATTACAAAGTTTTTTACAATCTCTCTAAAAAAAATACTACATGTTTTTGTTGATTGCTTTCTTTACAGGTCCTAGTTTAACGTTTTTTTTTTTTGAAAACGAACAGGACGTAGAGAACGCTGTAGTGTAACTTATTCCCTGCGCACGCAATTTTTTGTTGTACTCTATTATTCTTTAAATTTTCGTCCCAACAATTTTTGTAATAAAAAATTGTACAGGTCTTTACAGGATTAAAATACATCCGTTGGTACGTACGAATTAAAACGCAAAGCTTTTGGAACAAAGATGCATGGATTAAAAGAAAAAGAGGAAATTCGTCTGTAGTTTGGAGTTCTCGTGAAACACACATATTTCTTGCGAAATATACGAGACTCTCTACATCGCGAGGGAAAAAGCTTGTATGGTTGTAAAAGCGCGTATGGTCATTAACGACCCTCGCGGTATACACGATTGTAATATACCGTCTACATTTCCCTGCAGATGCACAAAAAGCGTCCTACGTTCAAGTGTCACAGCCATTACGAGCATTCGAATGAGCATATTAAAAATCAAAAGGTAAAATAATCTTAAACGCAATTATCAATATTGGACGCTTTCCAGTTTCATACTACAGGCAAGTAAAAACAAGACGAATAAACAACCGACTAAGTGAAATTTCGTTCTAAAAAGATAAAACGTATTCCCTAAAAAAATTACAGTAAAATCTTATTACCAATCATTTCATCAATACCTTTTATTCAAGGACGTATTCAGGTAAAATCTTAATCTCGAAAAATTAACTGAATCGAATATAATATTAAGAAAACTTGTACTGTTAAACTCTCGATAAAAATTGAAATGATTGATAATACCTTTCAATAAAAGGAATTCGCTATCAAAAGCGCATAGTATCCACACTACCTTAAATGTACAATTCAGTCAGCTTAAAAACTACAAATCATCTCACCTGAGAATGTGATACAAGAGGATCGTTACATTAAAGCCCATTTCTCGTCGAAATCGGATCGTCCTTCGGATACGTCATCCTGGGATTTATGGTCGCGTATCGAACCTTTAAGTCACGCGGTATCGCGTAGATGCTCGAACCATGTTGAACGCAGCTTCTTTTCAAAGCCTGAGCCTCGTCGAACACGCTGGACCTCGGTCTCTCGATGGGTCGCGGATTCGGCACGTCGTAAATCGGATTCTCGCCCGTCTTTAAGCCAGTCGTGCATCCTATCAATGAGGTCTCAGACTTGGACAGGAACCTTCTAGGAACATCGTAGTTGCTCAATGCCGGCGAGAGGCTGCGGCAGGAGCCAGAGGGGCAAATGTCGTCGCAGCTAGCCCGAAACTCGACCTCGTACAAATCGTTCTTGATTATTATCGACGGCTCCTGGTTGCTGCGGCACTCGTGTGGCTCTTGTGACTCTTCAGGCTCGTCAAACTTCGTCGTCGAGATGAACGGGTGCTTCGGAATTTTGGAGCAAAGCGGGTGCTTCGGCAGCTTCTTTAGAATGACGGGAGCCGGATCACGAGGAGGTTTCTTCGGTGCCGACTTCCGGCCCAACGACATCGTTATTATTTTTGGTGAAGGGTAGCACGGCCCCAGGTCCAGTTTCAATTCCTCTCGCGGTACTTCGGTCAGCAGCAATCGCTTCTTACTCGATTTTCTGTAATTTCAATAAACGTTATTTGTGAAACATTTGATTACTGATGCATTTGTGATACGAATTAAAAAATATGATTTACATACTGTAATATGCGTATGAATTTTCATTATAAAAATTTGAATGAATTAAGTTAAACATTTACCTGATGGCACCGTCGGTGTCGCAAGAAGCCTTTCCTCCGCCCATCAATTTCCTCAAGCCGAAGGTCTTCAGCGTGGGTTTTCTCTCAGGTTCCACGTAGGTGTTCTCTTGTTGCTGCAAGACCTCCGCGACGGAAATAAGGGAGGTCAAAGAGGAAGAAGAGCAGGACTTGTCGTCGTATCCGGAATCCTGGAGCTCGCGCGGCTCCTCGCTCAGATTATTCTCCGAAGAGGACAACGTGCTCTTTCGGTCGAGTTTATTCCCAGTCAACGAGTACAGAAGCTTCTTCAGAGACCTCTTCCGTGGCAGCTTCTTCCCGGTGACGGGAATCCAGTCGATGGACGTTTCTTCGACTTCGATCGGCTTCTTCAGGAACGCGCCAACTATTTTCGGAGTCTTGTCCAACCGAGGAACTGCTTCAGAGTCCTCGATCATCGTTCTCTTCTGAATCGCGTGGCCGCCTACTGAAATAGTTTCGACCAGATCGTAGGATGTCTCCAGGTAGACGTGTTCCAAGGTCTTTGTGTCATTCAGGGACAACGGTATGGAGCTGATCCTTCTAGACTTCTCTCTGTCGAATTTGGACAAGCTGGAGCAATCCGAACTAGAATCCTTTGAATTCTGACGCGGTGAGCGCGTGGGACTCGCGCAGGACTCGGACAAACTGTCCTTGGAACCACGGCGACCGAACGAAGAGAAGATCCCTGATCTCTTATGGCTCTTACAATCATCGGGTTTGCTCCTGGACGATGTATTAGTGACAGGTGTTTCGTTTCTCGATTTCGTTTCACCCTCATCAACTCCAGAGGAGTCCTCGAAATTTTCTTCGCCGAAGAAGATCCTATACGGTGAAACGTAGGCGGCAGGCTTCCTTCTCGAGGGTCTCCTCGAAGGACTTTCGTCTTGTTTTTCAAATTGTTTTAAATGCGCGGAAATGCCTGATCTTCTTGCTTCCTCCGGGCTTTTCTCTTCCCGGTTTCCTGTTATTTCTATGTTCTTGCCAGATTGTTGAGACTCCCCGGGATTATTCTTGGCAGGGCTAGAAATGCCGGACTTCCGTTTCGGCGTGCCTTCCGGGGTGGTTTCCTGGCTTCCTTGAAGCTCGTTTTGGGACTTGTATTTGACCTCGAACGCAGCGACGAGCTTTTTGACGAAGTTCTTCTGATTGGACACATCCTCGTGCTTCGTGGGTGATAAGAAGCCCTTCTCGAACTCGCAGACGATGGTCTGCAAATCCAACACCTGCGGCGGCGTCTGCAGGGATCCGGAAGTCACTCCGTTGGGAGACTCGTTGCGGCTGGGAATGTCCAACGCTTTCATTGCTCGGGTGTGCGTCGTCGCGGGAGCCGATGCAACTTGCTGTTCGCTCGGTGAATAATTCCTGAGCTTCTTGATCCAATTCCCTTTCGATATCCCTGATCTTCTTGTCTTGTTTTCCTTCACAGTCTCTCGTCGTTTCCCTCCGATCAACTTCAAAGGACAACAGAATATAAAGTGAAATTGTTGAACAGGTCGGAATAGTAAATAAAAAATGAAATATGCTAGCGATATGAAAATGTGATATCAAATAGTTATTGTTTTTCGATAAACATTCATTATTTGATTTTTCTTAAAGGTGTTCTTAATTAAATTTGATTTGAGACGAACGCTCTATCGAGTAAAGAATAAATGCTCTTTGTTAGAAAATTATTATTCACGTTTCTCGATTAAAAAAAATAAATAACAAACCTTTTCGGTATCTTTTGTGTTCGTCACGTGCTTCCAACAGATATTTATCATTGACGCGCTCATCTTCCGAGAAGATTCTATCTCGGACTCCACACAATTACAACCACAACTAAACTAGTATCGTTATCAACTGGGATTTATATCAATACACGTATAATTCGCGGGTTTATTAGAATATATTAAATTCACTTGAGTCTAGAAATATTAATATAGAAATGAATAATTAGCAACTTACGAGAATTAGCAACTCACGAAAGCACTGAAGCGAAAAAGACTGTCGACACTTTCAAGTTCCACTGTTAAGTGAGGGTTCGAAGTGTCAGCAATCCTATTTGTACCTGCCTGTCCTTCGGGGGTAAGTTCTCCGCGAAAGAGGGGATGGGTCACACCGTTTCGCAAAAATTCAGAAGTACAATACAGATTATTATTTAATAAAAGTACTAAAAATATAACCGTTACGTCTAAACATTCATGAATATATATTTTAGAAACGTCTAATACATGCAACAAAGATATATTTACTGCAAACAAAGAAGAACATGCACAAAACAATATTGTAAAATTATTTGAATATATAAAAACAAGAATATATTTATTATACATGTACGGAAAATAAGATTTTGGCACGGGCCAGGGAACAAGCTTCTAATTTCTTTTAATAACGATCGCATTTAATTTCCTCAAGGAGATTTAAAAAATTTCATTTCGGTGTACGCATATGCAAAAAAGAAAAATAAATTTCACGCTGCTCCCTTTAATTTTTCCTCTCTTCGTTTTTATCACGAGCCAGGCAATTTCCGGGATAATTGGATTAAAACACGCAAGGGAAGAACGAGACGCGCGTACATTGGAAAAGCTTTATCGATGATTAATCGCTCTCGTTCCCAAAAATTTATCTTCATACACAATGGAAAATTGGATACAAGCTTTCATGTGTAACAAGCTGACGCTATTAAAATATTTAGAGACAATAAAAAGTGTTTTTATTCGGTCGATTCAATCTAATTTCCCAGTTATTAGTTTAATTAATAGTGGAGTGTATCAATTATTTTCTTGTATTTTTTCATAGTGGAGGTAAATAAAAAGATCTCAGTATTTTATCATGCCCCGTCAACAAGAATGTTTATATTGAATAATTGCTTAAATTGTTTGACTTAAATTAAAAGGTGGTTTGTATAAATATTTTATTTGACGAAGCTGATTGAATTCTTTGTTTTAACAAACTACAATTTATTGTCAAAGGAATTTTAGTAGAATCAATAAGTTGACGATTCTTATTGATTACATATAAAACGTTGACAATAATTATAGCAACGATTTTTGTATTAAGAAATTAAACTAACTAAATTAAACATTATACTAATTAAAAATTAAACGAAATATTATTTTATGAATTAATTTTCAATTTATGTAGACAATTTAATTAAAAGAATTCATATTGCGACTATTTTTAATTTTTAATTTAATTCACTGAATCTCTAGTAGTGCATCGATACTCAATACAATTTTGTAATGAAGAAACGAGGAAATCCCTTGGAGAAAGTTCTTTCTCAGTTATTAAAAATTATACACCCAGCCCAGGTACGAAGAAATCCTGGAAGTAACGCGGCATAAACGACCGCAATTAAAAGCAATTGCAGTCCCTTCGTCCCTTTGACCCTAGGTACCTGGTAGAAATACAGTCGGGGACAACCTAAAGGTTATCCTCCTGTAAATCCCGATGCAAACCCTGCAAACGATAATTACCGTCTACGAGAGGACCAGAGGACATGACGCCTTGTTAGTGATAGAAGTCAACGCGAGGCGCGACTTAAATTATTTATATATATCATTTACGATTCATGCTTAGACTGCACGTTTTATGTATTTATAGAAGATCGTATGTACAGAAAATACTAACGTTGCATATATGACGTATAAACATACAGAAAATATAAAAATTAAATACATAATGCCACGATATGAAAATTCTTAATTGACCATAAATGTTTGCAATCTGTTCGTCCGTCACCTTTTAAAATGTCTGTTATTTATATATAACACTTACACTTTCGTTTCATTCATACAATTTCAAATTCGGTACCATAAACTACGTAAAAAACAAACTTTTTTTTATAATAAACTGCAGTGTCACTTTTAAAAAAATGAGATTGAAAAATTGCTCAGAATTCATACGCTATTCACGCGCTCGATCTAAACCGAACGAGATGCACTTCTGAACTGGAAAAGAATAATGAATCGACGAACTTCGTTTAGCGAAGATAAGCCATTGCCATATCGGATATTGTGTTACATCTAAACAATTGCATGATGGAGATAATGAATTCTTAGGAACCATACTTGCTGCCAGTAAAAGTTAGATAATCGTGTCCGCGTGTTTCAAAAAATTTAATGTTTTAGGCAACGAATAGTATTATTTATTATAAGGAGAAACATACGGTTTCAAAGTTCCATGATGTTTTAATATAAAAACAGTTAAACAGTGTTTAAAATAATTTAATCTCGTTAGGATATCAGTCCCGATAGTGTTCGTTCGTGATCGGAAATGCCCTTTGCCTTTTATTTTAAGTACCCAGAAAAACCAATCTATTACATACATATATATACACGATAAGGTATACTTTACTCACTGCACACTATTATGTGTATGTACCATGTTAGATCAGAGTAAATTGACTGATTTCGAGAGGAAGATTAGTTTAGAAACTAGCCCGGCAGATGATATCAGAGGTAAATCCAATATCAATAGAAAGAGGGGAGTTCTATACGGGTTAGATATCTCCTTGCGGCTAGAAATTAAAATATCGGAGGTTGTATCGCTTTAATAAATATCGGATCGAGACTCGCGTTGAACCGGATGAAATATGAAACCCAACGATTAAATAAATATCAGTGGGCCGATGAGAAACCGAGGAAAAGATTATTTACTTTTGGTAAAAAGTTTTCATATCTAAAAATAAGACTAAACGAAGACGAGCAAAATTTCAATTTCGAAATGTGCGTTTAATTATCCTGCCCTTTTCATTTCATAAACGTTTTTCTCAGTACCATAATACCGTATTTATAAAACCTTTTTGCCAGAAATGTCATTTTAATCTGCGCTCCACTTTAGCTCTCTACGTTACTCCTTTGACGCTCATACGCCAAGTGTTTTATTGAAAAAAATGAAGCATACGAGGAAAACGGATGACCAAGCAAGAAAATGCGATTGATTATCGCTCAGATCCGTCGTACGTCCTTTGATTAATTGCCTACTGGAGTCACAATTCCCAGGTCAGAATTTTTCAGTAATTAATTCGATCGCCACCGGCTAGTTGTAATTCCCAAGAACGCGGCAATCAACGCTAAGAATCGTGATAGAAAGTTAAAAATGCGAATCGATTGCGTAATTAACGTTTAAAGTATATTGTAATTTGTCTGAAGTGCAAAACACGTTTTATATTTAATTGATGAAAATGGCTGTGATATTCAAAGTAAAAGACATTAAATCAGGCTTCAGATTAATTAATTACCATCTCTTTACAGAAAGATCGCATGAAAAAGATCAGTATCATTTTAAAAGCGATTTTATTTTTAAATGATGGCACGGTAATCTAATTTATATCCTGCAGACTACTCAAGAGTAATTACTAAAGGAAATTCGGATGATATACAGGAAGAAATCCTTGTCCGGTTTATTACAGTACGAACCGAACGTAAAGCGAGGTCGGGGAACAATTAGACGGTTCGCGGATGGGGAGTGCGGCAGGTATACGTTATTGTGATGCGATTCCACTCGGCGAACAATGAAAGTGGCAACGAAGATGGGTCGTATCGATGGCTGTACAATAAACGCGAATTAATCAAGCAGAAAGCATCCAGCCGTTTCCCTGTTCCGGCTGTACGAATTGCTTCAGCCAGAAAAGACGATCGTCGGAAATCAATTGTTTCTTTATAGACAATTTCACTGCTTTAAATATTCTCCAATATCGTTATTTTAATTAAGATATTCTTTCGACATCGGTGGAAATGTGATCGTGTTTCTATGTGATCTGTACCGAGACTGCGATAGGACAAGTTTTAAATAAAATATCAGTTTGATAAGAGAAATTATATTAAACAGAGAGCAGATGAGATTTTATACAGAAATTTTACATCCTGTAAAATTTCATCAATTAAACGTAATATGTGTTCCTTTAATAACGACGCTGATGTCAGGAAGTGAACTAGAAATAAATGCAAGTGAAACGTAATGACGCAACTAGGACACAGCCGTGATGGAGATCGGTGATGAGTACCCGTATCAATCAGAGCCAGTTACGGCGATCAGTATCAGGGAAGTGTTGCTAACTTTAACTCGTTCCCCGTCAAATTTGTCAAATCTACCTGGATTCAATTTACGTAACGTGCGTCTCATTCGAACAAGGAATTACTATTATCGAGAAAATCATGAATACCATTTAATAGATTGTAAGATGCAAGTGGCTTAAAACGTATGATTAATGGAAATGAGTCAGGATAGGTCACTAATTGACACGGTTATAATCGATCCACCTTTGTTATATTGGATCTCGCGGTGATAAGTAAATTCGCTGATACATATTGAATGCGCACTTGTTACCGACTCCTTCTATATTCGCGTGTATTTATATGTCGTCGCGAAACGGTTCCTCGCGATTGCAAAAAACCTACGACCCTACGCGGGGCAAAGGGGGAGAGCAGGTACGACGCTGCATACGATCTCCCCTAGGCCCTAGGCTTTAACGGGCAAAGCCTATAAGATCGATATTATAACACAAATTACTTATATTTTTTTAACTAGTATATTAATGAAATGAATCGCAGAGTTAATAGGAAACATATTTAGAATATTGATGTAATTTTGGAATTGTCACACTGTTTTTTTTTCTGTTCTGAAGTATAAGGACAAAACGATATGTTTATAAGCGAATAGTACTTCGTTCGAGATTTCTACACGAAGATGCAAAGTATGGTGACACGTCCTGGAATTTCTAGAGAATCAATGCGTTCGGCGCCGGGACGTCCGGCATCCCCTCCCTCTCCTATTTTCATTCTGTCCCATTTTTACGCAAGCGGTTCGGAGGTCATGATAATGATAATGTGCGTGAACTTCTACGTACGGTTGCCCATTTACAACCATTCATCAATTAAATCAATAGCCAATAATTTATCAACCATTAATTTCAATTGTAAATTTACAGGTAGCTAATGGATAATGGATAATGTAGACGGTTGCATATGAGTGATCATAAGATACCAGCTTGGTGTGAAAGGGTTATAAGATAAATGACATAATTAATAAAAAAATACAAGAGTTCACGTGTGCTTGTTTTCTCCTACGTATTTGAGAAAATAATCATTGTTTATTAATTATGTCTTTAATAGATCTTTTCATTAATTCTTGTCTTTAATAGAGCTCTTTCACATTATCCGAATTTCACGACTCGGTTTTTGACGTTCGAAACGTGACGAAAGAAAATAAATAAAAAAGTTTCTTTTCCATCAGCGTCGGACCCTCGTCTATTCTCTTATGTCTGTTTTTAATATTTGTTAGGTGATAGGTGGATCCTACAACGCGAACGTGACACTTGACACAAGAGTGACTGACATATTCAGAAAAAACAGCTACCGACCTTATAGTGCACGAAGTAACTCATCGGCAAAGGTAAGATCGAGCAGCCGTGTTTCCATCAAGCTGCCTAAGCCACCGTCTAATTAACTTAGAGGAGCTGTGGATTTACTAGATCAGAGAATCCGAGTTGAAATGTAACTCCGAAATGCCAGGCGTCACTGGTCAAATCGTGGCTCCTATTCGCTTCACCGCGAACTTATTTTGCTTGGCTGTGGTCAGTCTCTGATTACGCTAGAGCCCAGCTGTAAAATTTGTACAACATGGGCGTTGGCAAAATTTGGCATATGCTTTCCGTTGAAACGGAGCTCCTCCGACTCACTCTATTGTGAAAGAGTCGCGCCTTTCCTTTGTCTCACTAATTCTTATTCCTAGTCCCACTCTATATTTGCAAAAACCGAATGTTTCGGTCCGTTAAACCGTTGAGCTGGTGACGTTGATCGTTTATTGACACGGTTAAGCGTTATTGCTTTTTTTTTTCGTGAACGTTAAATTCGACACGTGCCTTGGAAGGAAGCATCGTTCGGAGGTCAAATACGATCAATAAATTTCGCACACCGTTATATTTAATACTGATCGATTTTATGTAAATTGCTTTTCCAATTTTAAACGATATTATTTGATTGATCAATTTCGCGTTGTAGAAGATCAACATTGTACCAGCCAGGTTCGTTTCGTATATTTTTAATCTGACG